CAAAAAATTTTTTTTAAAAAGTGTACAAGACAAAAATACCTTTTTCTTTATGGGCACAGCAACATTAGATTTGATCTGACTTAAAGTTTTCATCAAAAACTTTGACTCATCAGGAGACTGGGCCAGTTTCTCTGGTTTGTCGATTCCAAAGTGATGCTTCTTGCAAAGCTGAAAAACAGGATCTTGTGTCAAATTTATGCAATTACACAGAAATCATCAACATGACAGTGATATTTAGAAAAAGGTCAGTTTGATGATGATGGTGTAACTGAGGTTGGTACCACCTAGAAAATCTAAAAACCAAATTGTCTTGTAGAAAAATCTGTGAAATTCAAATTGGGATACTAGTACACAACAAACAACAACAAAAAAAATTCTACCCACTACATACAGCTAAAAACTACAACACTATAGAATTCTATACAGATCTTATGTTCCTACACTAACACAGCAAACAATCTCACAGCTACACTGATCTCTAGGATTTCTAGGCACAAACCAGGTGGAACGATCACTCTGCAGAACCAGGACAACGTCTATCAGGATGGGATCTAAAAGCCTATCCAGTAACAATCATCCTTGTCTGTATTTACTCACTTGAAAATATCCTGTCTCACCATCCATGAAGCTCCCCTGAAAGACTGAAATCTTAGCCAAAGGCAACTTTCTTTTGAGATCAATTACAGCAATTTTATGCCTGTATTTAACTTTCACTCTTACATGTGTGGTTGAAAATAAATCAGATCTTCTATGAAAATTAAAGAAGAAATCTCATTTTGCACCACTGTCAGCTCATCTTCAGAATGAATCATGTGCTGACGCATACGGGGTATTCTTGGGTACATAGAAAACAATTTAGGATTCTCACAAGTGCTGTTACAATGATTGTCAAGGGGGACGAATGCAATAATTAAACCACAACAACATGAACACTGCCTTGCTCCTCTCATTTACAGTAGTAGCATGCACACCTCCAGCTCCAGCTCCTGGGGCTCCTCGTCAGACAGAGGAATGACAGCTATCTTGGTGATCTTGTAGACTTTGTGGTTGCCTGGTAATTGGCCGACCAAAGCTTTCTGGCGGATTAATACGAGGCCGAGAGGAAGATCTGCCAAGAGGAGAGAGAAGAAGGGGGGAGGTTGCGTCATAGGTGCAGAATTCCTCACATTCTGAAAGGTGTGAAGAAACCAGCTGCCACCAGCCATTAACTACAATTTTTTTAATAAGGCAACACAAGACATCTGGTAAATAAATATTTAAATCATGTTAATCTGTCTGATTTACCAGAATAAAACATATATTTTCCTGTGAATGGTAAAATATGAAATATCCTGCCCTGAAGCCCATAAAGACATTAATAATAAAATCACTGAATCATCGCCATCAGCTCACTCCTCTTCATAACTACACATTTCAAAGAACTTTGCACATTTTTTCACACCTTTCCTTGTGAGTAAGAAACATTCTAAGAACTGGATGATTTAGTAACTCAAGTGTCCAAGAATGTGTCTGTTCAAAGGTTTCTCATTCTCCACTCACCTGTGTGAAGCTGTATCTTCCCAATGACACCTTCCACCAAACCCAAACACACTGGATTCCAAGCCAACAGCAGGTCTGTTGCTGAAATAAAAAACACGGAGATGAAACATGAAAACAGCAATGTAGCAAGACAGCTCAGCAAGATACGCTTTGGGTCAGATAAGCAGCTAGGAAAAAAATACTACACATTTCTAAGTACAAGGCTACGCTGCTAATTGAGGCCTCCAGTTATCTCATTAAATGAGTGCGTGCACATTTTCTGCCAGAAGCAGCCCAATATTCACACGAAAAGCTTCATATATGAAGCAAACTTACAGAAAGTTATGACAGTCATGGTTGGATGACTTCCTATTACCACTCTCAAACTTGTTTAAAATACCCAGTGAAACACTGTACAGCTCAAAGACATTGAAGACTTGGTGTAGAACTAATATCTGGGGTAAATGCTAGAGGATAGAGGGATCTGACTAAACCTTTATCAGTGTTGTAGGTCTGTCATTTACATGAAAAGTACATTTTACTGAAGAAAGTGTAATTTGACTGATAACAAAAACTGGCCTGTCTCCATTTACTAATATTTTCAAACATCAGCAAGTTTGAAGTCAGTTATGGCAAAGCACAAACTTTGGAAAAAGGAAAAGTGGATTGGTGACGGATCAAACATCATAGTGGAGAAAATTGGAAAAATGTGAAGGGTGTGGCTAAGGGTGGAGAACACCAACTGCAGGCAGTCTCAGACAATGACGCTTCCTGTTTCATGAGAACAGAGGAACCACCGGTGAGGGCCACACCAAGAAGATCTCACAGAGAAAAACAAAAGTAATACCACAGCTTCACTCAGAATGAGTAATACCATGGAAGTACTTGACTGTGTGCTTGAGAGAAGAGTGGAAACCCAGCGAGGAGTGGAAACCCTTTTTCCAATTAAATAATGAAACAGTGGTGCAACTAAAAACCTGTTCAGGATGGCTGCGCTGCCATACAACTTCAACTGACACAGAGAATAACACGCATGGCCTTTTGGTGTGTCTAATGAAACTTTTCTTTCACTTTAGCAGTCCTTTCACTTTAGCTGGGGATATATAATTCCCACAGCCCACAGTATTTCATTTGCTAGGAAACCAAGGCCATATACTTTGTCACAGCTGTGAGCAGCAGAAGCACTTACTTCTGCAATGTAACCAAGGTGTAATGACATAAGCTGCTTTACAAACCTGAGGAACACAAAACATGGTTTGAACCTGTATTTAATCAGCCTTACATCAGAGAGGTGTTATAGTTTCCTTACAACTCACCATACTACAGTACATCTATTAATAAGTGATAATTAAGGCACATGGTGTGTAAACGGACATACTGTTATTTCTACCCTTTTACAGTCATGTACTATGTCTGTTTGATCTAAAGAAGAACTGAAGAGTCAAATTTACCCTTCAGGAGGTAACATAAGAAGCTAAGCAATAACTTTGGAGTCTGTATGGGGTGTTGCCACTCCCGGAATAAAAGCTAGGACGATGATTTCAAGACTTAGGAATGGCGCATCCAGCATTTTCTATCGCTTCTTTACCTGAAAGGACGTTTTGTTTATCGCAGCTGGATAATTTAGAGCCATTAAATGATAACGACAACGTTTATTACAGATATGAACGAGTGAGTGATACGAGAGAGAGATTAAACTAAACCGCTGATGTGTAACAGTAGTAAAATAATGTTTGACAATTCCAAACAGACCAGGAAACACATAGCTTTAATTTCACTCTGACGGTTAATAATGCCAAATGTTAGTTTCAGGTAAATGGCCGGCTGCAGCAGAGAAAGCTGTCATCCAGTAACGTACGTACCAGGTCTGACGGTCATGGTCCCATCTTTTCGGCTGCACCACAGAGCACGATCCCCGCTCTGGAGAATGTAATCGTCTTTGGCTTGGAACAGCTCCATTTTGTCCCTTTAAGTTACACAAAAATAAGCAACTATCTGGCTTAGCAGCCAGGCACTGCTAATTATCAACTTCCACGTCTTGGAGGTTAACTGTAGCTAGCCACGGTTAGCTCTTTTCCCACGGGCTGCTGAGCTACGGTAGCTAGCTACCTAGCGAGCTAGCAGCGGCGGCGGCAGCGGCAGCAGCTGGAAGCGCGTCGGATTCGTTTATTCCACATCTACGCATGTTGGTTATCAAATTCCCAGTCTACTGGAGAGGCATCCCTTCCCACAGGCCTGCCGGGCAGAGTGAGGGCAAATACACATCAATGAGTGAGAAAGTGTCCCAGTAGGCAGCAGCTGGTATGAAGCGTTCAAGACGTAACCGTCAGCTTCCTGCTCTAAACAATGACACGTGACCTGTGACTGAGCCGTCATCACCGGTGTACAGGTACTGTGGATAAAAACATCATGTCAAACTATTTACTAAAGGATCAGAGTAATTATTAACTAGGCTACATGATGTTAATATATGTTGAAGAAACCATGTTAATGACAAGATTTTCCCACAATTTGACAGGATCAATAATCTAAGCCTGCAAATTATTGGCTGTTTCCCAGCTATTTTATTTACATCTATGTGTCCTTTTTGTTAAAATACTTACATAAAATACTTAAGAGAGCAAAATACCACAGCTATAGCAGCTCTTGTTCAGTGACAGCAAGTTACATCTAATTTTTTTTAATTAGGGGATTATATATAAAACAATCATCACACAAAAATAATCAAATCACTGTTCTGATGTTACAGGCTGGGGTCATTTTCATATATAAAAAGAACAAAACACACCACTCATGTCCCCACCCGCATAGGAATAAGAACACAAACATGTTGTCCGTTATGACTCAGTGGGGCCTGCGGGAAAAGGCAGAGAGCAGCTGACCTCACAGTCATGACTGTTAATCTTACCATTGAAGACCAGGCTCAGACTAGGTCAGAGACCCATGTTCGCAGCCAAACGAGGAGCACAAACAGTAATGCATGAAAAAAAAGTCAATTTCTCTAGTTGGTAGTAGACATGTGTATCTTCAGTTCAGGTTTAGATATATGCACACAATATGCTAAAAGCTAACGAAAAGTAGTGCTGAAATGATTACTCAGCAACTTTTATGGTATATAATTTTTTAAGCAAAAAAAATGAAACATACCCCATGCACATGTGATCATAATCTAAATATCTGTGGGTTTGTTTGTCAGACGAAACAAGAAATCTGACGACCATACCTTGGGCTTTAGTAAACTGCGATGAGTATTTTTCACTATTTTCTAACATATAGGAAAAATTATCATTGATTAATAAATAATGAAAATAATTGTTAGTCACAGCCCTAAAAATAATATATGTATAATAGTAACTCAGATTCTTCCAGAATAGGCAGACAATGCAATACTACTACCAGCCTCCTAAAAATAATAATAAAAAATAAATAAGTCTCAGTCTCAGACTTTGCAGAATTCATGGGAACCCAAATATTAGGCAAAATCCATGTCAAATACATTTTATTTTCAACCATACCAACAAGATTGATTGCTTTCAATACATCAGCCTGCTACTCATAAACCGTGATCAAGACTAAGCCACAATCCATAATTTGTAAAGGTGTGTTAGGCACTGAGCCTACTTTACAGATGGCTTATGGTTGTACTACAGTGATAAATTACTACACAAACAATTAGGGTAATCAGAAAAGTACCTTTGAAAAAAATTATATCACAGATTGACGTTTTCTTCACTTGTTTATGAATTGGGCATTTTCTCACTGTTGGTATTTTTAAGGCTTTCAGGCCATATATGTGTTAGTGTTATTACAGATTGTGGCTTTGGTAGTTACACAAGGACATTCTGACAATCATGAACTGTGATTCCTAATGAGCACTAGGTGCTGATTGTCTCACATCTCAAGTAAGATACACCATCTCACCTCCAATTGTCATTACACATTCATTAATGTACCAAAATACTATATTATGATATAAATACTGATATAATGATTTGAAATTACAAGTAAACCAATGCACATACAAACACTCAAGCACATCAATCAAAACCTGTGTAACTGATATATTTCAAATCTAGTGCTGCTGAACTTTCAGCATGATACATTTCAATGATGGCAAAGTGCAAAGATGGCAAAATCAGTAATGCACCAAAAAGCAGCATCTAATAAAACATATTCACTGTGTTGTGTGACAAAGCAGCTCCAACATGGCCATGTGGTCATAAAGGGGAAAATGCTTTTCTGTTGACTGAGTTTTGCAGTGAGTTCTGCTTTGAAGTCCCCAATGTTTGCACTCGTGTACTAACTGAAGAGCTGACTGAATTAAGAAAAGCTCCATACAATATTTGATCAAGACAAAAGGCAACTACACGTAACATTTCTTAAGAAAATACTTCTAGTTTTCTTCCATTTATTGATAAAGGCCTCTTATTCAAACTTTAATTTGACTATAAATTGTTGTCAACACCTTGATCGTGACAGCTGGCACAACATAGAAGGCAACAACATTGGCTTGAAAAACACGATTGCACTGAGTTACCAATTATATGCTGAATGGCAGGAAATACCAACACTGTTAATCAATGCATGCAACTTCCACAAATGCTGTAGACAGAGGAAGAGGAGAGTTAGCTGGAGCAGACTTGTTAACCATCAAATATTCAGCAGGTTTATCATTCTCTCCTCTTGATTATGAAGTGTGCAGTCATTATGATATCTCCTTTGCCATCTCAACATTCTCCTTGGTGATCATGCTGGGCTCTCCTTTCTGTGTCAGGTTGTCTCCCTCCATTGCTGTGTCACCAGCAAGCTTGGCTGGCTGCTCCTCTAGTTGCTCCAGTTCTTCCAGTATGGTCTGAACACGACGGACTCCGTCCCGCCTCGCCTGCCGTACATCTACACGACCCTCTGGGTCAACCGAGTCCAGTGCTAAGAGCTCTTTGGTCAGCAATTCCTCCAGTAACAAGTACTTCTTATCATTCTTCTTTCCATCAAAACATTTCACCTCCTGCTCCAGTTTAGAAACCCGTTCAACTATCTTCTGTACCTTAGCCAAGCCTGGGTGGACTGGGCACTGAGCAGCCTGTTCAGCCTCTACCTTTACAGATGGGACTTCTGGGGGAACAGCTGTCACGTCCTGGGCTTCTGGTTTTGGAGGTATTTGAACTGTGATATCTGCAGTATGTTGTTGTGGTTGCTCCGGTTTCTGGGGTGGCTGGAACTGCTGCGGCGACTGCATTAACTGTTCAGGCTGCTGAGGCTGTGGAGACATCTGAGGTGGTGCCTGGTGGAAGTGTAGCGGCTGCTGGAAGTGTTGTGGCTGCTGGAACTGCTGTGGTTGCTGGAACTGCTGAGGTTGCTGAGGAGGAGGCTGTTGGAAGTGTTGAGGTTGTTGAGGCTTTTGGATGTCAGCTTCAGTGTGCAATGGCTGGGGGAGCTGCGTGTTCTCGGGTTTCTGCTGCGTGCTTTGTTGTTCCTGTTCCATTTTCTGGGGTGGGTCTCTTGTGATGACATGCTGCTGAGCCTTAGGAATTACAAAGAAGTCATTAGGAAGTGTCACAATCTAGATCAACACATACTGAACATGAAGAAAAATACAAGTGAAAACACATAAAAGTTAAACCACCTGTGGTCTCTCTCCAAGCACCTGTGTTATAATAGGTGACTGGCTTCTAATATGAGGTGGGAGGTGAATAGTAGCAGGATCGCGATGCTGGGTAAGCAGTATCGGAGAAGCCCTTTCCCTGGGCGGCTGCATCGCTGCAGAGTAGCCAGGCCATTCGTCTGTCTGAATGCGATGGAAGGGCTGCTGGTGCTCTGAGTATGGGACGCGCTGAGAATATACGGAGGGATTTAACTGAGCCTGTGTTTGTGTTTGGCCTCCTCCACCCTCATGGATCACAGGGATAGGGATGTAACCTGCTTGAAGACCAGTGCTGCTGGGCCGTGGGGGTTGGTGATGCGGGACAGTGTAAACCTTAAAAATAAAAGATCAAATTGAAACAGTGAATATTCGATATTTGGTCATTTGCTTCCAATTCAGAAATTTCTGAATACAACATACATTTCTGTATACATTTTTCCATTTCTTTTTTAGCTGTTTGTGAAACAGGTGATCCGACCTTTCCAGGATCAGTGGAGCAGCTCTCTGAAGGTCCATGTAAGGGAGATCTAGGCCTGCAGTGGAGCGCTGGTGTCGGAGAAGGCGTTCGCACGTCTGTCCGGATAGTCTGTGCAGTGGATGGCTGGATGTAGGAATAACATGGATGCTGTTGCTGCCTCAGTTCTGCGCCCTCATGGAAGACTGGGATGGGAACATAACCTGGGCGAAGAATAGGGTGCTTCATCTCCCTCACGAAGGTCTTCTGTGTCTCCTGAGGGCTTGGTTCTGGTGGTATGTTGGGTCCATTTGCTGAAACTTCTCTGACCTGAAACATAGCCAGTAGTATATTGATATAATTTAAAATGTTAACCAATGAGTATCAAGAATCTTGTCATGTATTTACATTTCAAGTTTAGACAAAAGAAAAAAAACTACATATGACTATTCTAAGCAGTGAGCAGAGGTTTTAATAAGCAACATTTTAGGCAACACTGATGTTGGTTCCTTTACTTATACTGAACTATTTAACCACATAGTTATTAGGCAATTCTAATGAGTCATTTACAGGAAACACTACAAACTTTATTGACATTATTATCAGTAAACCTTAGGCAATTATTAAGTATGTTGTTATGTTATGTTAAATATTTTTACCACATGATTGGCTTAGTTTGAGCAATTCTTTTTATCATTTTTTATCCAAGCCATTCTTACTTATAGTTGAGTAAAAGATTTAAATTATCTTTATTTAGGTACTGCCTCCTCCACTAGGAGATACATTTAAATGAAGTTCATGCAAAACTCTGTTTAAAACATGTTACCAACAAAAACTTATTACAAACATATTAATACAAAGTGTACAACCAAATGGTTTTCAAAACCTGGAGGTATTTTTAATAGTAAAGTGTTCTCAGACATGTGAAGGTTATAGGTTAAAATCTAACATTTCCACAGAGGGACGCCAAAAGTATCACCTCTTTGAGTATTTGATAAATGAAAATAACTTGTGATTAACAGAGACTCCAGCCAATTTCCAGTCAGACAACTGCTGTGTTTCGGTTTGATATTTTGCTCCACAGTCAGAGTCCGTCAGTCACCTGTTTAAATTTCCTAACTTATCCCACACACAATAGTTTGGCACACCCTCTTAAAATAACATGATATTAGCTAATCATTATGTCATGTAGAGAGAGAGAGAGAGAGAGAGAGACATGGGCTCTTTTTGCTCTGCCCTTTTATAATTTCATAAGGAAGAGTCAATATTATTTTTGAATTATTTCTGCATTAACTTCTCATGAAGTACAGCGGATAACTGAATTTCTTCCCTGTGTCAGTCTTTTTTGACCACACCTAGTCTCATGAAAAAGAGCATAATTAATCCTGGAATACATCTGTATACATACAATACTAAGAGTCAGAGTAAACTAAGTCCCAATTGGGAACTTACTATTGCAGGGAAATAAATACATATCATACATATCATAGGGAATAAAAATCATGCAATAAATCATGAAGTATAACATTGGCACTGTCAACACATTCCTGGATGTCAAACACATCTGGAAGAGTGTTGTAAATTTCCATTCACCAGAGTAGGAGTTTTTCATTATTATTCTCATAGTGTACCAAGTGACCAGACACCTGTCACTGACAGCTACAGAGAGGTACAAGCAACAGGTCAATTGATAGTTCAGCACTCTGCCAATGATATATCTGAAAAGTGATCAAAGTTTGTTTCTAACCATTAAAACAAATACAGGAGCTTACAGAACAAAAACTGCATTTACATGTAAGCCAGTGGCACAAAAGTTATGAAATAGCTGTGAACGACCCTTTGCCCTCTGCCATTTCAGTATGGGACACCGCACGCTGCCAGCACCATTGCACCAATTTTATCCCCTGACAGCTGTGTCTTTCTAGCAGTTTCGTCGGGACCCTAACTTTGGACAACAGTGTCTCTCTCCCAGACTAAAGATTACCAACTGGCAGCCTGTGAAGCTCTCTCTTAGCCCACGAGTTTTCTCTGCAGACCTTTCCTGTTTTCACAACGTGTATTAAATAGAGCTGAATATGATAGGCAGGGCAGCCAGCAGCCTCTGTCATGCAGTATACTCCACAGGCCAATGTGAGCGGGACCAGCCTCAATCCATGTAAGGGAAAAAGTTTAATATGAGCTGGACGTCGCAGTGTTTTCCACCACGAAAGACACGTTATTAAAATACTGGAAGCTCATCATGGGTAGCCTTTACATACTGCAGAGTGAGTCATCGAGTAATAATAGTATTAGATCATGACACGGGAACATAACGGGGTTGATCACCCTTTATAATAGGCTTATGAGCTGTCTGTGAGGGGGAGGTGACGGTGCCAAACAAGGCCTATAGTCAACAAGATTAATATATAACAGTGATGTAGCTCAACGCTTTTGCTGCTTTAACAGCGTATCAAACCAAAACACGCTCAGCAACGGACGTAGCAAGATACAAAAATAGCCGTTAAAGAGTTGAACGACCGTCAGCTGTTAACGTTGACAAACCAACTTTATCCCGCCGCTCTTTTACCTTTTTCGTGTCGTGTCTCGGGTCATTCCAGGTTGTCGTGCGGTTGTTGTGATCCACAAAAAAGGGCCATCCCGTCTGAGGGTCAATTTTCACTTCCCAGCCGAGGGGGAGAGGGTCGTTGTCATTATTTGCCATTGTCAGTATCGGTGACTGTGTCTTCATGCCGTTCATGTTGCAGGCTGTCGAGTACTGAGACATTTTATACAGGCGACGGACGCTTTAAAGATTCCTTCAAGTGACGTGGAAAAGTGGGCTGGAAGTTTCTCGAAATAGCAGGGTTAATGTCGGGGGCGGACAGCGCTGGGTACGGTGGCATGGGCTCTGAAACTTGTTATGTCGCAGACCCCCCAACATAGACACAAGCTAAACCTCTGCTCTGCATATTTTTTTTCCTCGGGGAGCCCGACCTAGGAGGATTTTTGCTGCAGCTGTGGAGGAAGTAACAGTCGTATAGACACCTGCTGACTGGGAAATCTTCACCCTAATTTTACTGGGACTCCCTGGACCCCAGTGACCCCTGTGCCTTGGACCCCAGTTTGAGAACCATTTTCTGCGCATTACACAAGGGAATCCCAAGCCTTTTCACAATAAAAGATTTCCCAAATAGATCTACTCAGACTCCCACATGATGAATCTCCTCCAAGGGAACTCAGTCTGGGTTTGCTATGATTTGGTACACAATTACATAACTGTGGTGCTGTGATACAATGTGGGCACAGTGACAACTCTAATGACAGATCTTCCTTAATTACAGGACTACTCCAATTCAGCCTCATACCATAAGGGAAATGCTAGTAAATTAGAGGCATCCTCACTTGGCCCGAAACCAATACAGGTATTTTTAGAGATGCTCAATAGTGTGGACTTTACAATTGAAGACAATTGATTTTTGTATTTTTGGACACCTGGAAATGGTGAGACAATTGATAATTACAAAAATAGCCTGTAGAGCAAATTCCTGTAAGGATTTTTTATAAGTTATTAGCCACACAATATAGGAGATAATGAATCATAAAGTAACCAGATCAAATCAGTCTGACCCTCTCTTGAATCCCTGTGTTTGTGCACTAGTGACACAAACACTTCTTATTGTGATTTTCTTTTTGCTAAGGGAAAATGTTCCAGTCAGTCATACATTATTCAGTTGTATGTGCAACAACAACTGATGCTTTTAGTCAGTGGAATGATTTATACAGTGATAAATATCATTGACAAATGATTATTAGATTCTTCATTCAGTGCTGACGTTGATGTTTCCACAATATTTCCAGAATATTCACATGCATCTCTGGCTTTTGCAAGCCTAGCAGCCAACACTGATAAGATATGAATCTGGTAACCAATCATCCTGCCTTGACTCCTCTCTGAGGTGACTTCTAACAGAGTAAAGACCTCAGTGTTACTCAGTACAAATTGGAACCACTAATCCAATTTGTGGATCCTAATCCAATCCTTAATGCAAAAAGTCATTGAAGAGAAACCGTTGCTATTTCTATGTAAATTTTCAATTTCAATTTAATAATTACACGGGATAACTCATACATATTAGCCCTTTAATTAAATGATTTCAAAATAAAAGCACTTGCCAGACGCTTGTTAAAACCACTATGTGGGGAAAAAAAAGATTTTATTCCTATCTTTGTCGCCCCCTATTGCTATTTTTAAAAGATACTGTGTGGCAGACAGCAATACATGTCTCTCACTTTTATTCTTTTTATTTATTGATGATCATAATTGCTGTATGTTCATCTGTAGCTGATAGATGCCCCTGTTCTTTTGACAGTTCTTAAGGTTTAGGTCTATTCTTACCATATTTCAAATAAATAACATTTATCCATTTTGTTTTTATTTTATCTATTTTTTTTTACATACAATTAATTAATTGATTAATTAGTTAAATAACATGTTTTTATTTAATCAATTATTTGTTTGTTTGTTTGTGTAAATAGACAGTCTGTTAATTTATGTAGAATAGACTGATACAGATATGTTTTCAATTAAATTTATTGCCCTTTTGATACATCAGTCAACACTTAAAATACTTAAATACACTGTTTGCACAGTTAGAATAACACTGCTTTAAGCCAGAATTTGTTAGTCAAATCATGAATGTGTTATTCAACACGTTCTCACACTGTAGCCTGAGTCAAAATCTAGAAAGGTCCCCGAGGTTCGAGCCATTGGGAACCGTCGAACACCGGTAATTAAAACAAGCCTACCCTTGCGTTCTACTTCAAAATAAAAGTCTCTATTGCAAAGTACTTCCCGACAGTACCAAATGTGACAAAATGAATATAGAATGTGATCGCTGTTTGGGCTTTTGTAGTTATTAATTAACCAATCACCCCCGATAAACACAACTATCCTGAATAAATGTATCATTTCCACTGATGAAATTGTAAAAATGCTGGGTTTTTGTTATTTCGCCCTGACCTCGCCGGGGCTTGTCATCACGCACGTTCTCTGGACTTCCAGCGTGACGTATGCCCTAGCGCCCGGTTAGCTAGCTTCTAAGCTAGTTAGCTAGTTGTTGTAGTTGACAGCGTACACGGGAGTCGGTTAACGTTAGCTAACTAGCTTCTAACTAACGTTTTCTGCCCTGCTGACTGTCGACATCGGTCATGGACGACGAAAGCCACCCCAAAACCCTGTAAGTAATTTTAGGTGTCTTATTGGTATCGTTAGGTATCGTTAGCTTCGCTAGCGCAGGGAACCGGTGGCTAACTTAGCTACCCGCTGTCTTCACAAACCTGGTGAATACTGTTAGACAGCATAAAAATGTAATGCTCCACTTACGCCAAGGTGGATAATATAAGGTTAAATTAGAAAAACAACACTCTAATTTAATGTGTGTGTATGTAATCTGTAAGCGTCAACAGCGACAGCTGTCTAACGATAGTCGTTACGTTGGGCCGGTTTATAAGTCAGTTAAACAAATGTAAATTTCGTCACATTAATAACTCACCATCAGTGACCACAAGGTATCAGTCGAAGTAAGCTGTCAGTGTTTCAGTTTAAGTGTCATTATCTGTAAGAGCCCATCGCTAACTAGTAAAAAACTGTAACAGATTGCGCATAAAGAACCTCTTGTTTTCTCCTTCAGGTATGTGGGAAACCTCTCCAGGGATGTAACAGAAATTTTGATTCTGCAACTCTTCACCCAGATAGGGCCTTGCAAAAGTTGTAAAATGATCACAGAGGTAAGCAGCCACGATTTTCAGGTTATATCCTCTTGTGGGCCGTTTCGTTTTCCTTCTATGCTCCAAGCCCAGTAATTTACATTAAAACGGTGACTATGTATCACTTTTCTCCTAAAAGTTACAAAGAAATGTATCTTTAACTAAAGCAGTTCTGTTAAATTGCATCCAGTGTTGAGAAATGTGGATGCAATGAAAATGGACAGTTGTTTTAAATCGCAGGTACATCACAGTTGTGTACAAAATAGTAGAACCAACCTTTTGAACCACTGTGTTTGACTTTTTCCCTTGCAGCATACAAGCAATGACCCCTATTGCTTTGTGGAGTTTTTTGAACACAGAGATGCTGCTGCAGCCCTTGCAGCCATGAATGGGAGGAAGATATTAGGAAAGGTAGGCCAACCTGTGTGATCTAAAATTAAAAGCGAGATTAGGAAGTTCATCCGTTGTCAGAATTCCCCTGTGATCTTTGTTCTTTGTGTAGAAAATTTCTTTTTTCCTGGCTTTCTATTATAACTTTAAATCCTCTCTGTGAACTCTCTGCTTTCAGGAGGTCAAAGTAAATTGGGCCACCACTCCAAGTAGCCAGAAGAAAGACACATCCAGTAAGTGTTCACCTATTGACTTTCTGCTCTGTTGAAATCAAAGTTCACCAGAGAATAGTAAATGGTTTCTTTCCTTTGTTTGTTTGTTTGTCATTTGTTTTGTTCTAGATCACTTCCATGTTTTTGTGGGTGATTTGAGCCCTGAGATTACCACTGAGGATGTCAAGGCTGCATTCGCACCTTTTGGGAAAATCTCGTAAGTTTTCACTTTGAAAGGATATTTCTTTTTATGTGCAGTGAAATAATTTAATTGCTACAATGTAAGCATATTGATTTCTCTAAAGTTGGGCACTATTAGGGTACTTCAAAATAATATTCTGTAATTTTATGCTGAGTGGAAGAACCATCTGTGACCATGTTTACATGCATATGGCATGGGTATTGACTTAACTGTAAAGATAAAGATATTTATAAATATCACATATTATAAGAAAGATTGTTTTGAAAGGACATCCTGAAGGTTTTTGTTTCTCCTAGACAGTTCTCAAGATACTGTCTAATCTCAGATGAATTCTTTTATTTTGGGATAAAAACAAGGGTTTGATATAATAGAAAACACTGGGACATCCTCGTGTCCTAGGTGTCAAGGGGCTGACACTGAACTGCAGTGTCTCCAGTTTGACTCTTGCCAGTGACCTTACTGGCATGTCACTCCCGTTCTCTCTCTCCTCTTTCCCTCTCATCTCTGCTGGCTCTCATGGCTATACAAAAAAGGCATAAAATACCCCCCCCACCCCCACCCCCCACCCCCTCACCCAAAATAAATAAACAAATTCAAGTAGCACTTAGCAAAGAGCACACAAGAATGAATGACTCATAAACTGTAAGGGGGAAACAAAAGCTCGCATTACACAAGGAGGCTTAAACTACTGATAGAGCATCTGTACAGATGGATGCAATTTATAGTTTTGATTGTTGATCACTGATAATCAGTATTATATGTACACCTTCTTGTGAGAATAAATTATTAGGTAGACAGACTGATATATGAGCAGGTGTTCAGAGGACAACAGAGATGGTTAGTGTTCAGGAAAACAGCTTCATATCTATTTCATCTTGATGTATTCTTTGTTACATTTGTATTATGTGCAAAAGACACCACATGCTTGCATGTAAACATAGTTAATGATGGACCAAGATAACCATAAGCATCATGTCAAAGTAGATATCAGAATGGACTTAACCTCTTTTCAGATGTATTGCTTTGTTTTGAAAAAACATTCTTGACAGATTGGAACATATTCATTTAAGTTATTAATTACAACACAAGTCCTGTAGGTTATCAAGTACTGTATTGCAGATATTTACTTGTGGTCTGTGTATTGTGTCTCTCTGTTTTTATGACTGAAGTGTGAGCTTTTAGCCTACTCTTGATTTTCCTTGCATATTTAGGGTGTGGTAAGTAAACTGTACAGTATGTCAGCAAAATGTTAGCTGTGTGTATGAACGTGAACAGCTTTTAGTTGTGGGTCTCAGTGAAGTAATAGCACTTTGGTTATTTTACAGAAATGCTCATAGGATTGGACAGGAGCTTGAAGGCTAACAGCAAGGAACTGTGCACTCTGGAGACACAGATGTAGTTTTTTTCTCTATTTATTCCATTTTTTCCATATGTCTTTATTTGTAGATGCTATGTATTAACATGACCTAGCTTAGATTAACAAATTCCAATACTCAATGTATTCCTCTAAATCTATGTTTAAATTGTCTCATTTGATTTGCATAGTGTTGTTTGTAGTGTAATGATCCTCTTCCAAAATTACTGAAAATGTCAATTTCTCAAAATTTGCAGCTCCCCAAACTCCATACTCCATATTGGTGGTAAAGAATTGACCAGGAAAAATAAAGAAATCTGTTAACAGGCCATGTATGCCGTTTAATTCCTTTTTTCTCTTTTGATATTTTCTATATATTTCTATTTGTAGGAAGAGCACCAACAGCAGATTTTAAGAATGCATGGTAATCCATATAATCTGTTCCTTTGTGAATTTAAATCAGTAGCCTACTGTTGAGAGGAGTGAACAAAAAGTGGTGCTCTAGAGGCAAGGATCCATTAATACATCTGAATTTATTTAAAAACAATACTGTAGGCTGCATGTATTTGTACTATTTGTTTTTTTTTTTGTTTTTTTTTTTTCAAGTCTTGCTTTGAAGTTACATTATGAGTCAGTGCTCAGTACAAGGCCATGATAGCTAACATACCTTAATGTAGGACAGAGTAGAGGATTCACAGTTCAGTGTGTTTTGCGTGGTTCCTTTTTTTAGTTTGAAGCCTTTAAAGTGAAAAGTGCACTGAAGCTGTTTTAACGTCTCCCTCCAGGGATGCCCGTGTTGTGAAGGACATGGCGACAGGCAAATCAAAGGGGTATGGATTTGTGTCCTTCTACAACAAACTGGTAAGGCTCCAGTGCAAGAACACAGACTGAAGGTTATTTCTATTTTCTGTTTATTATCTTACTTAAATGCATTTACAGTAATTAAAATAGAATTGATCATAACCCTAGTCATAACAACTTAAATCATCTAACATTACAGTTTCTTGTTTACCATCACCACTTTGAATGATACTTAGATTAAAAACAGTATATACATTCTCAGAACTGACTATGGTCACTAATAAACTTTACAGATTAATCAAATCCAGAGGCTTGACTGTGTTTGATTTGGATTTATAGGATGCAGAGAATGCCATTATTAACATGGGTGGACAATGGCTTGGAGGACGCCAAATCAGGACCAACTGGGCAACGCGTAAACCACCAGCTCCAAAGAGTGCCCAGGACAGTAAGTTAAAGGCTACTTCAGCTCTACAGCCACACAGGGGGTCTCACTTAATTTGGATGATTAGAGCTCTTCTCACAACAATGTTGGAGTTTGCACACTGTGTTTGACTGATCACTTCCTCCCTCTCCCCTTAGCGTTGTTGCACCTGCTACAAATTACACCTTTATCATTATTTGTACATGGAGTCCAGTGAACTCATGTTAACACCCTGCATAGTTGTGCCCAGAGCACAGGTCCAATCAGCCACAATAAGAGAAAACACCTCTGTGAGTGTGCAGGACCATAAAGGGAAAATGAAATCCTCGACCTGCAGCAGGTGGATGGGGGGACAAAATTAGATTCCCAGTACCTAAATATTATTAATGTGACAATATTTCGGCAGTTCTTTTAGAAGATACACACCAGCGTTTTGAGAGATCGTCACTTATATGGATGTGATGAACAGAGGCAGAAACATTCACAGTTCATTTTTCTCAGCTAGGACGAATAAATTGATAAAATTCACCTTAAGGTCCATGGCTTTTGAGTATTTAGGTACATTTATCATGTCATTAATCCCAGCTGTGACGTAGGTTTCATTGCAAGCCTAAACTTTGTGTATAAAGAGAGAAACATTTTTTCAATTTTCCAAACGTTGTTTGTTTTCATTTCAGACGGTTCGAAGCAGCTGAGGTTTGACGATGTAGTGACTCAGTCCAGTCCACAGAACTGTACCGTGTACTGTGGAGGGATCCAGTCAGGATTATCAGGCAAGTGTCATGTTCTCTAAAGATGCCATTGTTAGGGCCCTTAGTCATACTGCAATAGTAGTCTTATTATTTCCCGTACACTTCCCTCAAATAGCCTGAGAACTAACCACATGAACCTGTTTCTGTTTTTTTTTCAGAACACCTCATGCGACAGACCTTCTCACCTTTTGGTCAAATAATGGAAATAAGAGTTTTCCCAGAGAAAGGATACTCTTTCATCAGGTAGCGTCTCTGTCCATTGCAGCATTTGGCCTCTAGATGTCAACACAAACATTTTGCATGACTTAATGACAGGCCAGTTAATTCCACACTCAGTATCAGTGACCTTTTCTGTTAGGCTTGTCTTCACCGCTTTAATGAGGGATCAGGTAGCAAAGTTTTTAATGCTGTGTATTTTCTGAATTGCCTGATATAAGTCCTATGAGATAAATCTTCCTGCTAAGCTGCTGTTTTCCTTTTAAGGTTTTCCTCCCATGACAGTGCTGCCCATGCCATTGTTTCAGTAAATGGCACAGCCATCGAAGGGCATATTGTGAAGTGCTTCTGGGGCAAAGAATCTCCCGACATGGCAAAAAATCCACAGCAGGTATTTATTTTTTTCTGACAATAGGTAGATGACAGGAAATGAGGGAAGATATGGGAAAAACAACATGCTACAAAGATCTCTGGTCAGACTAGAACCAGGGAAATTACAGTCTGTGTCTTAACAATGGCCCTCTGAAAGCGATAAGTCTATGAAGGTGATTCAGATCTTGAATTAATGCAGTTAAAGGAATCCTGCTTTTTAGCCCAAACTATGAAACGGAAATAGAAGCTTTATTACAAATTCCAAGATATGTTGTCAGACTGAAAAAATGACAAGGGCACTTTCCATTTCTTTCATTAATATGACCCTTTTCTTGCAGTATTTGTAGTATCTACTCCTGATTGAACATAGAAATCATACCTAATGGGGCAGCTAAGATATGTGTTCATTTTCCTGTGTTGGGTTCACTCAGGTTGAGTACAGTCAGTGGGGGCAGTGGAACCAGGTCTATGGAAGTCCACAGCAGCAGTATGGGCAGTATGTGGCCAACGGGTGGCAAGTTCCCTCCTACAGCATGTACGGCCAGACGTGGAACCAGCAAGGATTTGGAGTAGAGTAAGTTTTACTCTGTAGTATATATTCAATTAATACATAATAAACCTCTTGACACCTGTCATTAATGACTCTGAATCCTGATGGATGTTAACTTGTCTCTAAGATGGACACAGCATACAGCTGATCTGTACAAAGTGACCACAGTAGCCGCGTTTCCACCAAAAAGTACCTGGAACTTTAAGTTCCATGTACGCCAGGTACTAACTAAAAGGTTCCTGTGGCCTATTGTTGTCTGCGTTTCCACTGCGACCTAAAGTCCCGGGAAGATTATGCAAAATTATTATTAATTACATTATTCACAGCATTTTGAGGACATAACATGAACGAAAATGTGTGTTTGCTCGCTCACTGCGGACATTTAAACTTTGCGGGTGAAATAAAATGCAGCGAGTACTCGACCAGTCGGAATATGTTCAGCACTGCAGACCACACCCCCCAAAGTTCCTGCACCTTTGGAAAGTACTACCCCCCGACCAGGTACCTTTTTGGGGGTCGATCAATTACCCCGGAACTAAATTTAGACCCTGGTTCCTGCGGTGGAAACCCACATAGTTCTCTAAAGGTTCCTGGTTCCTGGGGAAGGTTCCTGCTGTGGAAACGCGGCTAGTCATACTAATCAGGTATTTGTGGGATCTCCGCAGGCAGTCCCAGTCACCGGCCTGGATGGGAAGCTTTGGATCTCCATCAGCCCAGGCTGCAGCCCCACCTGGTCCAGTCATGTCCAACCTGGCCAACTTCAGCATGGCTGGCTACCAAACGCAGTGAGCTGGCCCTGAACTAAGTGTAATACCAAGGGGATTTTGTCAACCCTTTAGACCACATAGCACTCTTTCATCTGGACAGCTGCTCTGGTAAAAGAAGGGCGGGGCCATATTCACAAAGCCTTTGTAGCTAATAGTTGCTCCTAAGCCCGTTTAACATTATGTTTTAAATGACTTTGTTCATTTCACTTAGAACTTTTAAAAAGTTTATTTGATGATAATTTATAGTTCTGTTATGGAAAAGTGCTCTTGGGCTTCTGAAGTAAAGCCAAACCAGCCATCTTTGTCTGTCCAGTAGATGTTAAAGGACATACCAATCTTTTGAATGTTTTGCCCAATGAGAATCATACCTAGTAGGTGACAAGAGGATTTGCAGCATTAGCATGCTAACTGGTCAGGTATCTAACAGACACAGATGCCCTTCCTCTCATCACACATCAAAGACAACCATCAAAAAGTCAGTGTAGTACTTCAAAACTAATTGTTCCCCTCTCAGATTAAAGATACGAACAAACTATTTTGTGGAGCTAAAAGCACACTCACTACAAGCCATCATGTTACTCCAACAGCTCACTGGAATATGACAGATTAAAATCCCCCAAAACCTCAAACTTTATGACATTAATATTGAGTCATTCAACTATAGCAATATCTGCTCTCAGTTTGCCATCATGGTGTTATAATATTTTAATATTTAAGTGAGAACTCTTTGTTACAGCCTCGTCAAAATGTTTATTTACTTGTCATACTAGGGGCATTTTTCTGTCATTTTATACAACAGAGGACAAAAATCAAACCAAGTCTTCATGCATTGATGAGTTAGTTTTTGTAAGATATGTCAGTTTTTAAAACAGCACGCAGTGATCACAGTGTTGTACAGGTCAAGCAGGTATGATCAGTCATCATGAATTTGTGTGGCAAACTGCAATGAGCCACAAGAATGAACCGACCTACGAAATGTTGGTCTGGGCTTCGCTTCAGCTCATGCAGTGTGTAGACATTTCGTCCTATTTTCATATATTAATGAAAAATGCTTTGTGAATAGAGGCCCGGGGACAGTAGTTAATCTTTCCAGTACATGTGAAGAGAGTATTTGTACAAACAACTGTGGCTTTAAAGGAGACTTTAGTGAGAGGTGGTATCGTATCTCTTGGGTAAATTTTGTGTACAAAGAAAAATTTCACCTACACAGCTCTCAAAGCAAAAAAGAAATATGTTTTTCATGTTTTGTATCAGAGTGATCAGCATGTTCTTTGCAGACTTTTGATGGATTTTAGTTTACACCTTATGGTAGCCTAGATTGGACTAATTTATAATCCTGTGTCTCAAGGGAAAGGCTATAGCACATGCTTTCTGTGTAAAGAAAATATTGTAAAAACAGCGTAAACCCCCAAACTTTGTAAAGGTAACTGACGCTGTGTGCTGATTCTGGGGCTGGTTTCCTAGAGGAATATTGAATCTTAAATATTTTCTTCCTCCTTCCTTCCTCTTGTTAACCTCAGTTAATTGATAGTTATCTCTTTCTAATGGCTGTGAGAGTTTGCGAAGAACTTTAGATTTAATTTAGCAACAAAACCAGCCCCTAACTACATTGCATCACGTTTTATATCATTCAAAATGTTGTTTTTCTTTTTTTAGTCATCACCGACCTGTGTCAAGACAAATGTTTTAGGCTTATGATGAATTGGGATTCTTTTATTTTACTTTAATTCCACTGAAAGTGGAAGGTTTCTGCAATTGATTCATTAGGGCAGCAGGAACTTCTGCTTCCCTCAGTGCATTCACAGAATACTTCTATATATCCGAAATAAACTATTTAAAAATTACTGACAAATTGTGACAAGAGGATTTCTCAAAGACGTCCTGCCATTTGGATTTTATTTGCATATGTGCCATTTTGTACATTGTACTACACTCCTCCTAAGCTCACTCTCCCTTCCCTGTTGTATTAGCCAACATACATGATAATGTTTTTGTTTGTTTATTAGAGCTGGGGGGTGTTCACTTAACAAAACAGGGTCATGTTGGCTGAGAGTGTAAATACAAACCTTGATCACAAACCTTCATAAAACTTAAGAAATAATGTACATACTGTAGGTAGAATGTTATGAAAAAAATGCCATCATTAAATTTCAGCAATATAATTTATGCATAAGCCTTAATTGATGTGTTGGTAAATTCAAACTTTGTGTTATTTCCAGAGGCTCCATTACTAAATTCTTTTCCACTGTGGATTTTCCCATTTTTAAGTTTGTGTGCCATTTTGAGGTCGTAGCAGCAGGCGGGTGAAGTTTCAGCTTGAACTGCACGCTTATGACATGTAATATATTTCTTGCTTAAAATAATGAATGTAATTGCAATTTGCTTTTAAGACAATAATTCATGTAAGTTGAACAACAGAAGTGATGTTTAATAATAAAGGATGAAATCTTTTTTTTTTTCTTTTTTTCTTTTTTTCCATTTAACGGAAAACCTCAAGAAGTCACGTCAAATAAAGAAACATTTGAACCTGCTCATTTGGTACATTTATTAGACACTAATAAAATGTGCTTTTACACAGACATCAGACAGCAACACATAAATACACTGCAAAGTTATGTCCTTACAGAAACTCTACCAGACACAGGAACAATTACTAAACTGAGGGTCTGAGATTTTTACCATCTGAATGACAAATTCATTAGACCGCATCTGTTTTCTATACATTTGGCTTCATAATCCTTCTACCCTTTTTGTTCTGCGGCAACATTGGAAAGTATGACACCTGAAAGATTTTATAACAACACCCAGTCCACTGGGATAAAATGTCCCAGATCCAAGTATTTAATATTTAACCTAAATATGATTTTACTGAAGAGCCAGAGACACTGTCATCCATCAAATTTGCTGTTACAACTTGAGGTGGACAAAGTTGATGAATAAATACCGAATGATGTGTTACATATAGACATAAAAAAAAAAATACACACATATATATATGTATATATATATGGGTATTATTTTGAAGACTTCCACTAAACTGCAAGGGGGTGAGAGCTGCTGAGGAACTGCATAAACATTAAATGACTGAAGAAAAGCAAACATTCAGTTAGTCAGATGAGTGGCACATTGCACTGCCTAATATTGGATTATATTGCACAACTGTCTTTATTCTAACCTACTGTTGAAATAAATGTATATTACACAACACTAGCAATATACAGATTTACATTCAGGTCTCATCTACAACATTGTAGTATCCTATAAATCTGATTTTAAACCAGTTTATTATATTGGCTCTAGTGAAGCTGCCTAGTAAGCAAAGAAATTCAAAAAAAGTATTTACACAGTATTTACATATTCTCATGAAATGAATGGCTGAGTGTGTAAATCATACTGTCAATTTATTGATGATCTGAGCACCTAATTGTTGTTAGTTTGAATTTAGGAAAAATATTTGTTGGTGGGTTGACCCGTACATCCTCATGTGTCAGCTGACTTCCAGATAACCCGAGATTCTTTTCCCCAGAGGTTAATCACATGTGACAGTCATATGTGGAGTTGGTGTGACCTGCTGCTCTCCTGGACGACAGCTCGGCCTTCATGCCTCTGTCCACACAAACCAGGACGCTGCCATCTGAGGCAGTTTCATCACTCTGGATAGGGGTAAATGAAATTGAAATATTTTGTAATTATCATAAGAAAACTAAGAAAGTCTAATTTGCTGGAATGCTTAAATATAAGACATTTTACAATCTGTAAAATCTGTAATATTTGTAAGGTGAAGCCTCCTAGCTATTCAGTCTTCCATTGAAAAAGGAAAGCATTTGATACAACAAGGTTTAAGAATTTCTATAATTTATTTCCCTACTCACATCATTACTGGTCATGGACAGTTTCCCTGCTGTTTCGTTCCCTTTGGCTTTCTCTTGTAATCCCAGTTTCTCCATAATCAACTCAATCCTGGTTGTGATGCCTGCTACAGAGCTCTCAAGGTGGAGAACCTGTCTGGCCAGTCTTTCATGGGGAGAGAAAGGTAATTCAGATTTTGGTTAATGTTCGTTGTTATGAAATTAAATTCTCTTAGACATATCATAGGTTAAATATAAAAACCTTTCCTACTTTAGAAACTGTTCCCGATCCACCGAGGTTTGACTGGAGTGGTTCTTCTGCTCATTGGAGGTTACAGGAGGCTTCTCCAGTAATTCTTTCCCATAATTAATTCCAAGATTATTGAGTTCAGCACTAAGAGCATCCTGATGAAATACAGAAACACCATCATGAAAACAGCTTTCACTGCATTCATTCTTACATTTACTTTAATGTCTGTCCAGCCAGAGAAGAAATTAGTCAAAAAACAGATTGAACCACATTTATCCTGTAAATCAGGTCATACAATGAAGACTGTTGCACAAACCCTCTTTTCCTCCAGCTCGATTTTCATCCTCTCTTGTTCGTCCTCGTCTAGAATTTGGTTCCCGTCATGGTCAAACTGTGAGAAGGCTGCAGAAATTTCGTGATCAGCATGTCCCATCCTACAAGATTATCAGAGTGGTGAGGGTTACATTTAACACTAAATTCAGCATGTGCTCCCCTTTAAATATATTGTCACTTACTCTTTCAGAGTTTCTCTGAAGTCCTTGAATTCGATTTCTCCAGAACCAGACCGTAGCGCCTTCTGAACATCTGATATTTTCTCCTTTTTGAGTTTCAGCTTCATAAATGTCTTCATATAGCTCTGAATTACAAGGAGACATCAGTTTATTTATTTATTCATTGATTTATCTATTTCTAGATTAATTTCATTGCCTTTACCTGTTTGATGATGTCTGTAATCTGCAGCTCATCTTTTTGGGATGAGAGCTCCTCCTTAACCTCAGAATATGTGTCATTAATGATGGCCAGAAACATGTTCTGAGGAACAAACGCGTGAAGAGATGAAGAGACTTCTCATTTGTATAATTTTTAAATCAAACAACTTGCGTCGCACAATGACTTACCAGCAGAACAAAGAAAACAAAGAACACGTAGGTGACAAAGTAGATTGGCCCGAGAACTCTGTTAGCTCGGTCGATGGCGTCATAATCAAAGTCTCCAAGAATAATCCTGAACTGTGTGAAGCTGCAGGAAGGAAAAAGGGAGAGGAATTAAGTAGTTGACGCTCAATCGTCCTATTTAAATGTGTCCTGCCGAGCTGCTGTGATTGACTCCTCTTACATGCACTTTACGAAGGTGCTGAAGGATTCAACTTCTGTCCCAAACAGCAAATATCCGAGCTGAGCATAAGCGAAGAAGACAATGAAGAACATGATGGCAAATCCCAAGATATCTTTAGCACATCGACCCAGTGTGGAGGACAGCTGAGTCATGGTCTTATTAAAACTGATGTACTTGAAAACCTACGAGGACAAGAGGAGAACACTCATTCTTTAGTACGATGCCAGAGCCAGATCAAGTAATGAGTTGAAGTGATAGATGTCTGTGCTTTACCTTGATCCACGCAAAGAACAAGTTCACAGCGTTCATGTTGTTGTACTGTGTTTGCCAGAACGCCAGAAATTCAAAATCAGCATAGATATCAGGGTGTTCCAGCAGTTTGCCAAGCAACTTGTCCACTTTGACAGTTCGGAAAACATTGAAAATGATGGCAACGATGGCGAGCTGGGAGGGAGAATAATTAAAATTTTGAGTCGAAGCTAAATCAGAGAAAAGATCATGTTTGAATCAAATAAGAATTATATTTCCTACCATTATGACAACAACGTCCAGTATGTTCCAGATGCTTTTGAAGTAGGACAACTTGTGTATTCGCACTTCAAGAATCTCCTCCACAACATAGTAGAGGATGAACAAACAGAAGACTATCTCACAGCCGAGGATGAAGTAATCCCAGTAGGTGATGTAGCGGATCAATTTGACCGTTCTGATCTGATAGGAAGGGATCGCTCCACCGGTTGCTGGGAATTCAACCACCAACCTGAAAGAAGTACATAAAATGTTGGTAAACCAATGAATGGATACCAACCAACTAATGGATAAAGTTGCTTCTGTTAATGGTGCTCCTTACCTGATGACGCAGAACATGTTGATGTTTGCATTGTAAGTGGAGAAGTCGATGAAGGCAGCTCTGGTTCCTCGGTCCAGCCAAAGGTTGTCCACCAGTTCCCTCAGTATGACGGCGCTCTCCTCTTTGGTGCGACTCAGGTCTTGATAGTATCCCGCTCCACTGTAGGTGGTCAGCAACCCCCAGTGAGAGGAACCCTTCATTTCTTTCTCTGTGTGGTAACTCCAGCTGCAGATGCACAAAAAAGCACAAAAATAGCTAAGGAAAGCCCTAAACTTTGGTGCAGTTCTTGTCTATAACAGCACAGAGTGGCTTACGCAGTGCCATTAATGAGACCAAAGCTGAAGTCTTCCTCCTTCTTCTCATTGTAGACATCGAAACATCCCGTGATCTCGTCTTGGAAGTCGTCGTGGACCTTGCAGGAGTTGTTCTTGATCTTGATCTGCCTCATCCTCGGGACTCCCAGCAGCATGTTCTCATAGTAGATGAAGGACTGGTCCCCGCTGTCGAGGGACTGGTTATTGTACCATTTAGTCCAGTAGAGGCCGTCCAGTAATGGTCCCTGGGCGTACTGTTTATATAAAGAGACGGTGGATGAACGCAGATTGAAATTTCATACTCTTATTTTTTACTACGTTGACAATGGAGGAAATTAATATGGCGGGAAACTCACAGTCCAGAAGTCGGCCATGGTTCCAATGGACTGAAACTTAACCCCACTTTCACCGGCTGTATTCACAAACAGGTCCGTCATGGCTTTGGTGTAATAGTAGGTGCTTGAACTGGTCATACCATATGTCACTGAAAGACAACGTAATCACACTGTTGACACCCAATAATTGATCCCTATCTGGCTTTGCTCAGGCTCAGCTCTAAACATTGCTCCATTCAACAGTCCAAGATAAGACAGCTCAGAGGCAGACATGCAAAGCCTCATTCAAGACTTGCTGTTTGGCTGTGTTTATGTCACCGCCATCAAATTGATTCAGATTAGAAGCTGTAATTTGTTTGAAGAGAGAGCACGCTGACCTGACACAAATAGCCTCATCAAACAATGTAAATCTAACTCAGACAAAGCAACAATGGACGAGGCCTAATGCTCTTATCACTAAAAGGCAAGAGAGCAGTGCCCATGTCCCTTTCACTCCTAAAGCTCAGCCGGACAATGCCTTTCAGGCAGATGGATGGGAAGGGTATTTGTGGTAGGCATTAAAGCAGGGTAAATCAACAGTCCAAGTGCCCTATACAGTAACATCCTGCTAAATGGTGGGCAGTGATCAGCGCTGCTAAAAACAAAAAGTTGATTGAAATATACTGAAGTAGGAACAAGGTACATGAGTACGGGAAAGAAAACATGTAATTCACCTATTTGAAAATACACTGTTATGCATAAGATGTTTGTCAGACCCAGAGACACATTTGAAATCTCTTTATGGATCATGAATGTGTCGCATACATTTGGGATATGAGTATCTAGAAGTACTTTAACAGGTTGTATGATGTAACTTAAATCCAGGAAAGTATTGAAGTATTTAAGTGTAAATCTAAACCACAATTTTCCTTAAAATAACAATTGATGCAGAAAAACACTTTCCCATGTCAAACGTTGGAAGAAATAAATGTTTGACCGCTGAACTGAACATAGTTTTGGGTCGGGATTGATCCAGACTGTTAAAATAAGTGCGAGTCAGACATTTTGGTTAGAACACTTACAGAGGCATATGTCTACCAGGAACACCAGATAGACCAGTAACTCTCGTAGCGTGGTTCGGACAAACAGTTCCCTGTTGTTAGAGGTGTTTTCGGTCAATGTTGTTCCCCACAAACCTACACAAAAAAAATATCAATGAAAGTCATCAGTCATATAATTATGATGCAAATGTATTTTTGCAGGAATTGTAAAAAAAATTACCAAAAGTTTAGAGTTGAAGTTGAATTAAAGGAAAGCAGATGCTTCAAGAAAGACTAAAATTGTTTAGGCAACAAGGTAGTTCAGACATTTTAAGTTAAAAAACAATATTGAGACATGAAAGTCTCCAGTGAGATCAATTTTTGCTGAGATTTATCCAGAGAAGTATAATTGATATTCAAAGCAGAAATACAGTGATGAACTCCTACCTTTGATAACAGAGCAGCAGCCTCTTTTCTTCACCAGGCTTTGCTCAGTAGATGGTGGCTCCTCTGGTGGATGGTGGAACGGCCCGGGGGTGTCCAGTTTGTAAATGCTGTCCATGGAGCCCTGGAAGAGAGGCTGAGGGTTGTAGATGGTGCTGACAGCTCGGGCAAGGGGCGGAGGAGAGCCACAGTAACCCTGGTTCACCCAGGCACCGTTGCCCACGGTGTCCAACTCGCACTCCACCTGTCCGCTCAGGTGGCTTTCAGCCCGGTTGTTCAGGCACTTCATGCTGTGAGACGCCGGTTTGTCTGCTTATGAACTGCTGCGGTTTGGATCAGGAGAGAAAGTGAAGCAGGGCAGCGCAGGCAGCTTCTGAACACCTGCTGGAGGGATGATTATAAAGAGTTGATGACATAAGCTTTGTCGAGGGAGGAGCCTCTGGTCCTCTGCTGGAGCTTTTGTAGTCTTGAGATTGAGACCCAGCTACAACACATTAAGGTGATGGTATAATTGGTGTTGTACTAACTCAACATTGACATAGTTTGACAGGGTTTCCCCAAATACAAGAAGTTTAATCTTATTTTCATGAGGGGTGCAATCAGTGGTAATCAATAAGAGCTCATATCTTGTCCTTAGCTGTTTCAAACTTAGGGATATTTTTAGATATTTTTGTACTTTTATTGGCCAGGCACCTCTAATAAATTTTGTATACAGTAAATAATACTTTTCATTTTAATAAAAGGCAGAGAATTTGATAAAATACAATAAAATAAATCATCACTGTCCTCCCTCTCACTATCAAACCTCTTTCAAACTGGCAGAGAGAAGCTGAAATGACAGCTACTACCTCATCAAATTGAAGGAATTTCATTTTGTAGTAGCGATCTCTACATTACCACATATCCACCTATAAAACTGCTGGAAATGTCTTGTAAGAGAACGGGAGGCTAAATAATTCAGCAGTTAAAAGACATTTTAATTTGTTTTGCCCTCTCAGTTACATACATGCTGAGCACATTGTTGTCACCATTGATTAACAACTCATCTGGTGACGCGCTCCTATTGAGGAAATCAATTAATTGCACGTCGATTACATTTTCTGTCACCAATTGTTCACCACTCGCGACTGAATTAATGAAGAGCGTAATTGCAGTGTCACCGATGGTCTCCGCCTCATTACCGCTCAGCACTTTTGACTCTGCCATCTATTCATTTTTGACATGCCAACTGTCAGAAAGCGTTTTGTTAGGTATGCAAACACTCAACGTGGCGTGTGATTCATTACGACCATCTGTATCAGTGTTTGGCACCTTGTCCAATGTCGACCTTGCCTGCCAACCCAACAAGCCCCCCTGCAACACTTCTCATGTATTTAAGTGTTCAATGATTAGCAGATAAATTGTTTAATACTTCAGCTATATTTTATTTTTGTTTTCTATGATTTGATATATGATATCCCTCTACATATTTGTCTTTGTAGCTTTTCATGCGTTTGTTTATTTTGTGCAGGAGTTTAAACCAAACACACTGGAACATGAGCTCCGTCCAAAAACATATTTCCACATTTTACCACCCAAATCAACTGCACGTTAATAAGATGTGTGAAGTGTATTAGCAGTTCGGACAATACAGTTGATGCGCCGCTGTAGATGTCTTCTACTTAATCCAGATAGAGTTTGGGTCCAGCTATGGGCCTTCATGCCTGAGCGGCTCTGAACAGAGCGATTACACACAGCCATTACCACACAATAGAGTTTAATTTCTGCTCCCCCGCTGAAGCCGTGGCAGGATCTGGTACACAGGCTTCCTTAATCTGCTGCGGCTTGTGCCACCATTCAAACTTTTTCAAATCTGTAACAATCACTTTTCAGTGGACGATGATTGCCATTTAAATCTGTAGCTGTGTTGGCTCTAACAATGGACGGAGCGTGGATCATGTAGCATCCTGGTTTATCTCTGGTTACACTGAACTATCCTGTAGCAGACTCCAAGAGGTGTTATTTCTACAGAGAAAATTTGAGAATACAATAATTAAATGATAGTACTTTGTCCTATAATGGAGTCTATTTTCAACATTTAAACTTTGGTTACCCCACTGACGTAACAGTATCTTATCTCAAAGCACAGGAGCTCTGGACAAAAGGATGATTTATTCCCCTGAGTGCAGATTGAGGCAGTGCAGCGGACATGACCTGCCATCACTGCTACTGAGAACCTGACACAGAAACAAAGCATGTGCTGTAAATTACTTGTTCTCTGTGATAACCCTTGTTTTAATACCAGACAAAAGTGAGGGCTTAAATGCTAAAGCTAATTGGCGTCTAATTAGACGTTTTTCTTGAAATGAGAAAATACGCCATAAATTTCACTTGTATGCTCTAAAAGATTAAGAAATTTAAATCTGCAGTATGTCATATTTTTTGAGGATGAAAAGGGAAAATCATGTTAATAAAGAATGGTTAAAAATAATAAAAACTAGTATACTTAGCAAGTAGCAATTACATATAGGAGATTAATATTAAGTTGTACTATGAGAAGAAACCCATATTTACCATATTAACTTATTAATAGAGACGACGACAAAGAACAAGAGAAATTTTTTTCATATAAAATAGTTTTTATTTTTAATCAAAAATTATAACTCAACAAAATAGAGGTCTGCGTGTGAAAAATAACATAATATTTTTCAACTCTACAAACATGTACACTTTGACAGAATAGTTACATATTGACTTTTAACCAAGACCACAATGATTTTCTCAGAATCCATTGAACATTGCACAACATTTTAGGGCCATATCAAAATAACTGATAAAACTTACACCATTGCCTGTATCTTCAGTACAATCTAATGGTCATTATAATGACACTACATTTCTTTCATTGCTATTCTTTGAACAAAAAGATGCTCAACATTGCTGGGTTACCTAGCAAACAATAAATTAGACTTCAAACTTGAATAGAAGCTTTTTTGATTGTCATACCAATACTAGATAAATACAAAAGGAAAATAATGCAATACAAATGTATTTACTGTCTCCTAGATTGGAGGAAGAATATTCGCAGTCACTCACACCCAACCACATGACTGATTAACAAATGGCGGCAGTTTATGCGTGGACCTGATGTCCATCAAACTCATAGGAGAAGGACGAGTGGATATACTCCTGTCCGGTCGGGGAGTCGTACCTCATGAGGCAGGAGTAGTTTTCAGGCTGCACACAGTCAAACTGCAGGTCCAGCCACTGCCTGTGAGGAGCGTTGTGCCTCCTGGCGTCGGTCAGGATCCGGTTGAGGGCCATAATGTAGCTGAGGGCCATCTGCAGGGTTTCGTACTTGGACAGTTTTTTGTCCTGGCCCCACTGCGGGACCACTTTACGTAAGCGATCAAAGGCTGTGTTCAAACCCTGCATCCTCTTCCTTTCTCTGGCATTGGCCGCCATCCGTCGCCTCGTGGCAGTCTCATACTTCTCTGGGCTCTTGGAGTCCGGTTCTGAGGACTCCGATCCAGAGTCAGTGCAGCTGGGTCGACGAGATTTCATGGTTTTTGTTTGAAGAATCAAACCGGTGATTGTCCTCAGATCAGAAAGACTCAGCTGTGAGTCAGTGGTTGTCAGAGAAGTTTCCAGTTTTGGTTTCAGGGTTCCACAGAGGTCTCCTCTACGTCACAGCCTGGCTGATGTCCACGCTGTGTGTCCTTTGTGTTGAGTGTCAAATATGTGTAACCCGAGATAGTGGACAGCCTGAAGAGTCCAAGGTGTCTGTGATCCTGGAGACAGTGAGGAGCAGCTTTTATAAGACAGAGCAGATGAACAGGTGGCAGCAGGTGGAGTCCCTGCCCCCCTGCTCCCCATCCTCAATATTGCTCATAGAGAAACTCACCCATACAGACTCATATACACCCACACCCACTCTCAACACACCCACACACACACACACACACACACACACACAAACACACACAGAGAGAGGCATATATATGCACACTCAGCACACACACAAACAAGACCTTAATGAAATTCCAATTATCTTGGGCTGGGCTATCTGGCCGTGGCTTCACTCAGAGCCATGTGTCACAAACACCAAAGGTCTACCATCTGGTAGCTCAGCTCACCACAGCTGATGGTGCAAACAAACTTTTAAAAGACCAGGACTCTGGATGTTTCCTTCTTTAACTTACATTCCCACCAATTATGTAAAATCACTAAAAACCTTGTAATTACCAATTAAAGCTTGGACTCTTAATTAAGCTTTAAAGTAAAGGAAATATTGACAAATAATGTAAAATACATAATATTAGGTTTAAGCAGAATACATAAAACAATATAGATATCAGTTGTTAAATGGCAAAAAAAAAAAAAGAAGCACCGGTGTCATTTTGATAGAATTTAAAATTCACTCTTCTGTGTCTAAGAATGTATTTTTCAAATTTGATTGTATATGCAAAAATACAGTATTTTACCTCATTATATAATAAAATGTTTATTTATTTCTTAATCAATATTTTCTCCTTCTAAAATACAACCATTTTGTTTGGAAATTTTAACAAATTTGTGACTAAATCTTTATACTTTAGTAAATAAATCTGTAGTTATCACAATTTAACATCAAATCTATTTATAGATTAAATGTGACATTTTTCTTATTAGGTTTTATTAAATTACATAATCCACTAAGAAGTCTCCTTTCACTTCTCATGTAACTGGTCTCCATGTGATAATAACCATAATCTGAGATTAGCCCCAGGCAACAGAAGTGTAAGTGTGGCCTGTAATTTGAGGGATTTTAACAGCACATCAGGGGATTAACAATACTAACAATATGGGCCAAGATGGTGTAAAGATTACTGCAGCATCCGAGGTTCGGAGAGCTGTTTGTGTGCTGGTGTAGACACTTCTTCTACTTTATGTTATTGAAAGCACACCGGTCGGTGAGGATGTTTCATCAGTGCCGTGGTCTTAATGAATCACAGTATGTGGGATGCATTAATGTTCCTCATGTAGTGGGGACCACATGTGAAATAAATAATTGATCTGTGTAGTGGTCCGAGAAAATGAGACAGACAGAATAATTTGTCTGTCTGTCCTCCCCATCTGCCAACATTGAATTCTGTAATACAGGAGGGTAGTCTCCTGTCTCTCTCTCTCTATCTCACACACACACTCTCTCACACACACACACACACACACACACACACACACTATTTACTGTCACTCAAAAGCTCCACACATGACTTCTCTACTTTAACCACACTGTGCTGTTACTCTAAATTTAAATAATAATCACATTAAATTGATGTTTATCTGCACAAAATATGAACTACTGAAGTGTAATTGTACTTTGAGTATTTTAATTTTATCCTACTATGTACTCAACTACTTTTTGTTGGTATTGAAATTTTTGCTCATACATTTATCTGTCAGCTGTTTATTTTGACATACAGCTCTTAAAAAATATTATGTAATTTGTTCTGAACTACCCAACAACATACAGTTTAGTTTAAATGAATCAGACAAAATTGAAATACTGTTTACATATGAATGTATCAGTAATAATAATAATCCAATATCGTAATGATGTATAACAATTTGCACTGTAAAAATGAGCCATTCTGCATAAGAAGTACATTTAATACTTGAATACATTTAGAGGAATCCACTACTTATGTCCTTTTAACTTCAGTAAAACGTGAATGCAGGACTTTTACTTGTAATGGAGCCTGTTTACGGTACTGTCACCACGTAAAGGATCTGAATGTTTCCTCCACCTCTGCTGCTTTAACTTCTGCTGTCATCTTTGTCGTCCTTTGTCAGGAGGGACACACAGCTCCTGTCCCTGTGTATTGACTCAAACTCAAAGCTTGGGTGTAGAGGCAGGTTATGAATGATTAATCACTGTCAGAGGCCTAGAATAATGCCTGTCTCTGGTATTGGGTCATGCACACAAGCTGATGCTGTCTGGTCATTTTGGGATGGACTGGTTAGCTGTGCAATTAGGCATATAATCCCATCTACCAGTTGGTTCATTGATTACAGATTGATGTAGTTTGCCAGCTGCTGCTTGTCTTGTCTGAGGGCCTTGTCTGAGACGTGGCCCGGCCCTTCCGTGTCTTCTAATTTTTTTTTCATGCAACCTCTCACATGATTGGCTTGTCTGAACACCGATGGCTGAGCCATGCCCTCTGTCAAAAGCCATATGTCACAACTGAGGAGTGACCCGTCTGCTCTGACAGAAACACGTACCCTCATAAATCCAGATCTCCTTATGGAGAAATTGAGATTAGGGAACAAAGCGTATGTTTCAGTCCAGGAGAAAGTGTAAATCTCATTATCATCACAGTATTACTTTAAATGAGCAGCGTGATTAAGCTCATACTTAACTTTTAATAAGCACGAGGAAACGCATCACAAGTGTGTCAGTACTTTAGTTTTAAATGTGTAGACTTTGAAAATCGGGACAGAAAACTTTGTTACGACTGTTACTGTTGTTGTTTAGGTGCTGCAATAATCACGTTGAGCGCACGTAGAAAATATAAAACATCATCTGAAACATCGTGGTAATAGTCAGTATAAGTCATCTACAAGAGAAATAAATGAAAAATTAAAATTGAAGTTTCCAAAGCATTGTCCACAGATATTTACTTCTTAGCATTAACACATACAGCACCCAGTAAACAAGTATGTCTGGCAGCTGGTGAGATGAGGCTGGAACTATAATTAGGTCATGTAAGGTGAATGTAATTTTATGCCTATTTGAACGCTCTTCCCCTCTAATTGGACTGATTAGCAATGCTTAATTGGCTTCTGAGCTCTCTTATTTGTTTTAAATTTGGCATCAGTTTAAGCTAATAGGGCTCTGATTACAACATAGTCACAACAAGGTCTCCATAATGACATGATTTGAACTGCCTGTTTCCCTCTTTGAATGGATATAATGTTCTTAAATACAAATTATTTTCATGTCGAACACGAGATAAAGTTCAGGAGCAGTGAAAACGGTGCAGAATCGTTGTAGATGCTGTCTGTGCAGCGTGCAACAAAACCACTTGTTCCACTCATTTGAATAAATATAACTTTATTCTTAGGAGGACAAAACTATTTTACAATGTGCAACTTTACATCAGTTGAATATGTGCTTTCAAACTTTTCTCCAATATGTTTTCAAACTGATTTTCTATTAATCAAAGTCTATCAAAGTTGAATAGTAACCTCTGCAGGATACATTTGACTTGTTGGTGCCTTATCACAAATAAAACTCAGGAGATTTTTTAGTTTTTAGTCTGATGTGACTCATTCTTCGGATAATACGTCCTGAACTGTAGATATAAGTAAGGAGATAAATCTTTGTCAATACAAAGATGAATTAAATCACCTGAAAGCAAAAAAAAAAAAAAAAAATCAAAGTGTTTCAGTGTTTCATCTACAAACTATGAATTAGACTCACCTAACAACGTACTACTATTATGACTGTGAGCAGACACAGTGCGTTTGTCAAGTTATACAGTATTGCATTCTCATCAGCTATCGGCATGCACATGAAAAATATGGTGCAAAACTGTGAACCAGTGATGGGCATAAAGAAATAATTTAGTAAAGTGTAGAAAGAATCCCACCTTGCTGGAGCCATTCAAACTGATCTAAATGGCACATTCAAATGTCTATTAATATATATCAACTAATGTACTCAGATTATTAATAAACAATAACTTATGACTACTTTTTATATAAACTTTAAAAGAAACTAGTACTATCAGTACAGGTGCAGTGGCTTCAGGAAGTATTCAGACCCCTTCACTTTCTGAACTTTATTATGTTGTAGATTTAATTAGCGGTGGATAAAACTACAAACCACATAAAGCATCTGTGGAGAGACCTGAAGATGGAAGCTCAGACTCCTCCCATCCAGTGTGACAGAACTTGAGAGGATCTGTTAGGAAGAATGGGATAAACTGCCCAAATCCAGATGTGCAACGCCTGTAGAGACTCGCCCAAGAAGACCGGAACTGCTGCTGAAGAAGCTTCTGCAAAGTGCTGAATTAAAGGTCTGGATGCTTTTGTAAATGAGAAATTTCAGTTTTAGATTTTTGTTAAATATGCAAAAATTTCTGAAATCATGTTTTCACCTTGGATGGCATTTGTGTGGTGTTTGCATGTTCTCTTTGTGCCTGAGTGGGTTTCTTCCAGCTTCCTCCCACAATCCAAAGACATGCAGGTCAACTGGCAACTCTAAAGTGCCCATAGGTGTGAATGTGAGCATGAATGGTTGTTTGTCTCTGTATGTCAGCCCTGTGATAGACTGGCGACCTGTCCAGGGTGTAGACCGCCCTCGCCCCAATGTCAGCTGGGATTGGCTACAGCGCCTCCCTGAAGGATAAATGCTATGACGAATGAATGTTTCCACTTTGTCATTATAGATTATTGAGTGTAGATTGGTAAAAATTGTAATTTTATCCATTTTAAATTAAATTTTCAAAATAGTGGTGTGCAAAAAGTGAAGAGGTCTGAATACTTTCTGAAGCCACTGTACATGTAACTTGCAATAAAAAGAAGTGGCGTTAATACCACTTTGAGACTAGGACTAACTATTAAGAACAGATGTTATCACTTACATTCAGCAACAATCTGACTATAGTAACTAAATATGATGTAGAAAACACATGTAGATCATTCAGAGAACAATATTCCACTCCACTGATGGCTCACGAGCTAAGACTTTGCAAATCTGTCATTTTTCTGCATGTGAAACACTCTTCATACGACTTGAGTAAATAGGAATGGTGACAAACCCACTATCGGTGCTGATAGCTTCAACGCAGCAATTCTTTGCCTTTCTATTCTGAATGTATCACTTCAAATGCATCACACAAATCACATGACAATCTGCTCAGATAATCATTCTCCTTTAAACCCTCTACTGTTTATGACATCCTGCTGCTGAGGGTCACCATGCCGGAGTGATTGCAGAGAGCTCACAGCTCCTCGCTCTCCAGCATGAACTCAGGAGGGGAGCTGGAGAACAGGAAGGGGCTGGTGTCCGACGTGGGGAAAGCTGACTTGATGTCGAGCCCCTGGCCGGTCAGAGCGGCATAGCGGCTGCCTGTGCGCGGGGCTTTCTTCATGGGTGCGGGGATGCTCTGATGCCACTGTGCTGAAGGTGCAGCAGACAGCTAGTATTACTACTTAAGACTGACGTGCTGAATATGTGGCACATCTCTGACTGGAGCTATACAGAATATTTACCATAGATATCAAGCCTGCAGGTGCAGGACACAATTCCTGCCTCATTTTTTGCTGACACCGTGTACCAGCCAGCATCGTCTTTTGTTGTTGGCTGAATGAGGAGACACACGTATCCTGTGGCATCCTGGGTCATGCTGAAATAAACGGAGAATGGAGAATCCAGTTAGATTCCAGTAGATATCACGTAGAGTGGAGACGTAGAACTCCCACTTACCTGATTCTCTGCTTAGTTTTAGTGACTGTGTCATTGTCTTTCTTCCAGAAGATGACTGGGGGGGGCATACCCACCACCCGACACTCCAGCCTGACTGGAGTTCCCTCAGGGATCCCCATGTTCTGAAGCTTCTCCACAAACTGGGGAGGGTGCTTCGTCTCTTTCTCTGAGGTGGACATGACTTAGATTACTGGAACTTCCAAAAAAGGCGTGGGGCGTTACATCAAAGCGTTCAGCTGAATTGCACATGAGTAATTCATTCCTTTTCATCATCTAACAGACAGGTCATTGATTGTATCCAGTCCTTACCCACAACTTTCAGTTCTAGGCTAAAGGAGCTCTGTCCTGCTTTGTTGCTTGCAATGCAGGTGTACGTGCCGCCGTCATTCTGCGTCAGAGGGTCGATGACCAGGGAATGGATGCCGTTCTCCCGCACCAGCATCTTGTGGTAAAGGTCTGGATAGATTGGCCTCCCGTTGACCAACCACATCAGCTCTGGGTTGGGTAGTCCACTCACCTGAAAGACAAGAAAGCTGACAGTAAGGTGAGGTAAAAATGCAATGTTTTAGTGACTGTATTTCGTGCCAGGACAGGCTACCTACCTTACAGTCTAGTCTGCACAGTCTTCCCTCGTGAGCCAGCATGTCGCCCGGAGCCTGGAGGAAGTGAGGCCGGAAGAAGCGCTCCTGGGTTTGCTCGCTTTCAACTTCCTGTATGCGGGTTCGCACCCTGACAAAACATGAAGAGGTGAGCACGGACCACGGGCACAAACGCACACTTCCACGTTAATCCATCCGTCTCAGTTGTGCTGCATGTTAGTTTTTTAGTACAGCTGTAGTTACACAGAGGGATTCCTCTGCAGATCCCTCTGCACACTCAGTCCGGCTCACCTCTGGGAGTGAATCGGTGCCAGTCGGTTTCTGGGAGGTCCTGTTTGGACGATCAAATGACCCGAGCAGCTGATTCGTCCCTGGTGGTCATCGAATATCAAACAGCAAATCAGATTTTGCAGCTGGAGAGAAGGTGTTGACAACATAAACCTGAGAGTGAAGCACTACCTGTGGATTAGCTGCCATGATGGTGTAGTTGCCATCATCATCATTGGTTGTGGACTCTATGTGTAAAGCGCAGGTCCCGTCGCCCTCTCTTATCTTCTTGTAATGGACGTTCTTCCTCAAGATCTGCTTGCCATCCTTGAACCAGTAAACCTGAGGAGGGACACAGATGTGAGTGATGCATGTTGGGGGGGTGAAAGTGAAAGATCTTGCCGTCATTTGTGCAGCACAGTTGTTGACCCCTCACCTTTGGAAGAGGGATTCCCACAACTTTGCATGAGAATGTGACAGGCACGCCTTCCATGGCCCTGAAGTTCTTCAGCTTCTTGTCGAATATAGGCGCGATGCATTTTCCCGTAGGGACGTCGTCGTGCTGCACCTCGTCGTCCGACTCCTCCACCGGCGTTCGCTCCAAACGGAACTCAATCTCACTCATTAGTCTCTGCTCAAAACTGGACACTTTGTACTCCTGGAAAAGGAAAACCACTACATCAAAGTAATCGCCACAGTCAGTGTTGAATTACTGCATGCACCATCTGTCTTTGTCTCTACACCAAAACTTCCCCTGGGAGTCGATTTAATGTACAATACAACAACATGCATATTGAGATAAAAAAAAAAACAAACGCTCCTGGAGAGGTGTGCAGCAATGAGGATCAGGAGGCAACGTGCATCTGTTCACCATGAAGCAACAGTGGGATTAAAGTAAACAATCTATAACTCAAATCTCAAAACTAAAAAGGTTCAGATTGTGACTTTAAACCACCTGATGACAAGGATCATGCAGTGGCATCTGTCGGACAGTATCACTCCTGGATGGTAAAAGAAAAAAAAAAAAAAAGGCTCTTCCAACCAAAAAAACAAAATAGGGCCGAGGGTAAAACAGAGAACAGACAAAGACGAACTTGCAGAGATGAGAAACATCATTTCTAGATATTTAAACACCTTATTTGATTCATACTATGAAGCTTTTGGCAGCTTTTTCATCTGTGGGTTAGCAGAGAGGTTAAAGGAGCAGGAGATAATTAGAGTGTGTGAAATGTTAAGGACAACATGTGGGTTTGTGAGATGAGTGTTTGTGTAATGAACTATGTCTTTTGGGAAAACTTAACATGAAAATCGGGAAGACCGGGCAGCAAGCTTCAGTGGGAAACTGTGAAATCAGTTAACTGAAAAACTGGAGAATATTAGCTAGAATTAAAACAAAAAGTAGTTTCATTACATTTCATTAGCTTCATGAGTTTTAACCCAGAAATATGCTCAGATGGTTCGTGCAGGTTATATATTAGTTAACAGAAGCTTGAATGCTTGATTAGAGTTATTAATTAACCATGGTATTATTTACATAAGTAGATGAGAATATCCAAAGTTTCCTAATCTCAGGCTGAGACGTTAGAATAGTAACCCAGACAGCCTCGAGCAAAGCAGTGCTTGGGACGAGAAGATCCTTGTACCTCATCATAGTTAATGACAGTAGCAGGAATGTTTGGTCCAAGCGGTCTGCTCGCTGTTTTCCCCTCATTACTCAGCTTCTATGAGAGGATAGGGATGGATGATGAGCACCAACAAAGACACACAAACCGTACATACAAACGTGTACTGATGGAATAGCACACGAGCTATTGTTAGTAGCATGCGTAATTTGCTACGGTAAATCGACACACAGTGATGGATAACCATGAGTGGCTGGGGAGGGAATGGTGGCCGACGCTCTGTTATTCGCTGCCTGTGACACAGTTTCAGTGATTTAATGACTCTTTATGATTTTATATTTTTAAATATCTGTTGAGAGAAGTCGTCTATGGAGCTTCAAAGTAAATCATTATCAAATAATCATATGAATATATGGTGGAAAACATACAAATGAAAAATAAATTGTGAAATTAACAGAAAACATTGTTAAAGTTCAACTTATTATTATTTCATCCTTCATTTTTCATAATAAGAGAGTTTTGTATAAGACTGGTCTCATGTACTGTATCTATGGTTTTATGTTTTTTTCAGTTTATATATATATATATATGATCAAAAAAGACATTGAATATCGAAATCTACCTTTATACAATATGAGACCAATATGGGCTGCAAATGCTACCTACCTAGCTGGCTAACTAGCTAGATAGGGTTGTGAGTTTGGATTATTACTCATCATTTTTGCACAATTTAATCATGTGATCATTTCATAATTATTTATTTGTTCATTTAATTGAAGACTTTGTTGTTCCATAGGAGTCAAGTGAGAGTCTTTGGTTAATATACAGTAAACTTTATCCTCTGAAGAATAAAATTAACTAGATTGTGACAGTTGGTTAGTTAGAATTAGTGATATCAAATACTGACATGTAAACAAGCTGATCATTTTCTGATATCATATTCACACAGTGGTCTTGTATCTGTGCAGGGATGTAACAGAGGCTGAAATCAACTTCACCTACAATCCAGTGGACCCACCTCACGGGCTGAGTTACAGCTCGTGAAGATAACATATTGTTTACGCAAGTAGTAGTTTGCATTATTATGTGTATTCACCACTACATCGCTGCAACTGAGGGTCAAAAAAGGAGAAATCAACCAGAGCTGCAGAGCTGGAGAATACTCGGTACCTGTTGATATGCAAAATGTGGAGTTTCGTCTTTAAATTGAAGCTTTTTCTCGATGTCATGGAGGAGGATTTCTTTGCTCTCACGAATGTCTTCAATTGAGGGGAGGCGCACCTTGGGTACCTTCTTTTGTAGCCTGAAGACACAGATGGGAAAAAACATGTATTACAGCATGAGTTCACCAATCTTATGAGCATCGTCGTCCATCAGAGAGGGCGTACCCTAAAGGAGCTCCCTTGGGCAATCCCATTGAGTTTGTGGGATGACTCGGGGTCAGGGACGGCAGGACGGAGCTGAGGAAGGCCACAGGGTTTTGAATGGGGCTGGGGGTGGAGCTGCTGGAGGTGGGAGAAGAGGCCTGGGGAGGCGACTGGGCTCGTACGGCGAAGGTGCTGTTCAGGAACTGCGCTGATCCCGGTGTGGGCGAGGACACGAGGGAAGGAGGGCTGGTGGGAGACATCAGCACCCTTGTGGGGATGTTCCTGATTGGTGGGGGAAATGGCGGGAGAGTCGGGGAGCTGGCTGCTGAGGAGTTGAGCTCAGCGGCCAACTCATGGAGCAGGGGCACTGGGGATTCAGTCGGGGAAGGACTCCTGACTGGTGAGAAGGTCTGAGCAGCTATGAACTCCTTAGGCCGGGTGTAGTTGAAGGTGAAGGAGGAGGCGGTGAGGTTCATGAGGGAGGCGTGGGTGCTTCTCAGCAGAGCAGCAGGAGAGGTGACCTGCTGTAAGGCCGGGGTTGAATCTGTGGGGACTGTATTGAGCTTTGGTGCAGGAGGAGAGGAGAACTGGAAAGTGGGTGCACTTTTGGCAAGAGCTGCAGGGGACAGGTTGAAATGGGAGGCATGGATGGTGTTCATCTGGGTTATAGGAGCTGCACTGAAAGGAGGCGCTGTGTTCAGCTGTGGAGCAGGTGGAGGAGAGGTCACCAGTGAGGAGGTCTTGAACTGAGGGATAGAAGGAGGGGAGCTGAAAGGAGGGGCAGGAGAAGTGTTGAGAAGAGGTGACAAGGTGGCGTTGAGCGCTGGAGCGGAGCTCAGTGAGGGAGCAGGGGGGGTGGTGGTCAGCGGAGGCGCAGTGGAGCGGGGTGTCTGCTGAGGGGGAGTCGTGGTGTTAAGGTAGGGCTGGAAAGGTGGTGGATGGGGTTCACGTTGCATTCTGGACGACCACAGCGGACCTTCGTGGGAGCTTTGGACCTCGTGCTGGATCTGGATCTGGAATGGGGGGTGGGACTGAGGCTGGACGTGGGTTTGGGTCGGAGGTTCAGTCTCCTGCTGCTGCTCCATGAGGACTTGGTTGTGCAGAAGCTGGAGCTGGGCTGGGTCCCTGTCGGCCAAGCAAAAGCAAATTAACAGATCAACCACCAAAAAATGACACTATACATGGTGAGGAGGAGAGAGGCTCAGTGCACTGCTCTCATAAATTAGCTCCATGCAGTAAACCCCAGCAGGAATGAGCCAAAGTCAGCATGGAGAATACTCTGACCATTTATGGGACTACTAACAAGTAGCCTACAAACAAAACACTCTTCAAGCTCAACATACTTTCAGCTTTCACTCTAAACAGGATTCTCTGTTTTATTTGGACTGACTGAACCACATGGGACAAAGTCTTATATTCCTCTTTGCTGTTTCAACCCAATCACACCATGAACAAAAAAACCACAGGGAACAGCTTATCAATTTAAAACCATATAAGATCATATTTACAACCAACATTATCTGAAATATTAGATGAACAGAAATGCATAGAAGTAAACTTACAAATAGAAAATGCCATCCTTTGTTTTAGAAAGCTGGAAGGTCCACATTTGAAGTCCGCATGCATTCATTTATGAGTTGCAACTGATTACAGCTGCGAGTGGAGGCAGAGGAGGAGGAGGAACCTCCCACCTCTCAATACAGCCCATCTTATCTCAAAGTAAGGACATGATCTGGATCTGTACAAAACCTGTTTTCCTCATACTACACCACTCTGGCCTCCTTGTGTTAGTTCAGTTGTGAAATTTCTCAGACTCATCTACTTGTTTTGTTCTCGCTCTACTCACAGTTTGGGTTTAGCCAGCACCGGCGGTGGTTCTTTGTTAGCTGATGCGTCAGTGATGTCTTCATCACACTCACTGGATGCGTCACTTTGTTCATCCTCTTCATCCTCGGGCAGTTTGAAGTGCACACGCAGACCGACTCTGGAGCTGGAGCGTGAGTCTTTGTGGTTTGTCATAGTGCCTGTCTTGAGGCAGGAGTTGGGAGGAGGATCGGGGAGTGGCACCACTACGGGGTGCCCGTTCTGATGGCTCGGGGTCCCCTTAACTTTAGCGCTCATGTCGGGCGATGTCAGCACATGTCTGGATACTTCCTGCTCAGCTGAGGTCTCCGTTGCAGATAGAGCAGTGAAGGGTTTTGGGAATGAGAGCACCTGCCCGCTGCTCTGTGGTTCTGGACGTGCTCCACTGGATCCAGGAGGCTCCTGGCGGAGGTGAAGAGGATCTAAGTTCGGAGTGCTGGTGCTGCGAGAGTTCAGGAAGGAGCTGCTGCTGCTGCTGCTGCTGCTGCTGCTGCTCAGGCTGGAGGGTTCCAGACTGGGCAGGCTGGTGCGAAGGGGGTCTGGTCGCAACATGCTGGAGCTGTGGGGGGCCAGACGGAGGGTGCTGGTGTTTAAGGGGTCCAGGCGTAAGGTGCTGGAGACGAGCGGGTCTAGGCGGATGGTGCTGGAGTGGGGCTTGATGCTGTTGGTCACAGTAACCTCTGGTTGAGGGTTTACGGTGGGGGCTGATGGGGACGGCTCCTGGATTCGACTGGGCTCCATTGTTAAACTGTTGAAAGGCCTCACCTGGTTGCTGTTTCTGCCATTGCCTGGTGAGAACCAGAGACGTGGATACATCGACATTTTTGTGAACTTTTATAAGAACATATGATGACTTTTGCTGTTTTTGAAAAGCAAAACTGAACTGTTACCTCTGACCCTCAGTGCAGCAGTGCTGGACACAGTCCCATACTTGTTGCTTGCTGTACAAGTAAACACCCCCGAATCTTCCGGAAAGACCTCAGCAATGACCAAAGTGCATATTTCCTCTAGAGGTAACGGTAAAAAAAAAAAAAAAAAAGATACTCACATAATCAGGTTTAGTATGACTGCATCTTAATACAATGAGTTTGTGTTTCCAAAGCCTAGCAGTGGGGTTTCTCTACATCACCAGGGCTGAGAGTCTATCTGCAGCCACAGGTTGAAATGATCTGCCATGGTGGCTTGACACAGGATGAGAGACTACCTTATATGGTTCAGAGTCAGGGAAGAGCAGCCCTGGCTTATGTACAGAAGAAGAACAGACGCCTCGGCCAATGACTATAAACACTGGAGCACAGTAATATGTACACACTGCAGCATCATATACAGACAGACAGCTGCTCTGGTGCAGCCAACACTTGTTTTTGACAGATGAAGATTTCATGAAATGTGTACCTGATTCAGCTGGAGATCTGGGCTCTGAAATGGAAAGAAAAATCATTAGGAAACTGTGATAAAGTGCAACAGCTGAAGTTATGGTTCAAGTATAATCAGCACTTCTCTAAGTCTCATGTTATTAATGATTAGATACCACAGTCAGTTGAAGCAAGATGATTCATTTTTAATTTTAAAATGTCCTTTAAGAAATATAATGAAGTGTATTTATGCTGCTAATTCCACAACTGTAGAAACATTTAATTTAATTCAAGAAAATGTTTTTGTTCCCAGGGGCCAATTAAAAGCTTTTTTGGGCTCATTACAAATTCACACCACCAACTTTTTTGTTGTTTTTTATGTCTAATAAACATAATAATGTATTTTTTATTATTTGAATGTGTTTTTGTTTTCTTGTCTGCACGTCAAGGTTCTTAAGAATCACTAAACTATAAGATCACTAAAATATATTTGAATTAAGCTGAATGAAATTGACTTATTGAAGGTGGAATGAAGTCTTTATATCTTGCATCTTCAAAGACTCCAATGGAGCTGCAGCATAAATACAAAAGAAACAAGCTCTTTGCACTTTTAATACGACGACAGCAGCAGCAGGACTTACTTTTCTGCAGGACCCTGAAGTCAGGAGAGTCCTCTATGATTTTCCCCTCCCTGTACCAGTCCACTCTGGGTGACGGTGCCCCCTTCACACGGCACTCTAGCACCACCAGCTGGCCTTCTGACGCAAAGAGCTCCTGCAGGCTCTGCAGAGAAAAGACAGGCTTGATGTAACATCAATAAATACACAGTATAATGGACAGCAGAAGTGGACACGCTGTGCACACTGAACCTACCTTTGTGAATACAGGGGCAGCCATGATGGGTTGCCCGTTTAATCCCTGTAGGTAGTTGAGGTTGGACGTTTGACTCTGAAGACGAAAAACCCACAGAGGAAATGTTGATTAAAATATACAAAAGTAATCATTTCACAAAGATTATATTGGAAGGAAGTGTTTGTGCTGCTTCACCTCAGGTTGGGGTGTTTGTGTCGGAGCTTCCTGGACAGGAAGCACAGGTGAAACCACTGGATTCAAAGGCAGAGATGTAGCTATCGCCGTAGCTACCTGCCGTGGTGTGGATGTGCCTGGGTCAGATGCTGACTCTTCCTGGGACTCTGAAAGTTCTGTGTCGCCTTGTGACAAAGTAGGAAACGCCTGTTCAGGCAACACAGTCAACTGCTCCTGAGCAGGCTGAGCAGGCTGAGCAGGCTGCGCCGGGGACACCACAGAGACTTTTGAGACGTCTGGGACAGAGAGTACTGTGGTGGTCGTCTGGACCAGTAGAGGAGTTGGATCAGTTGATGGTAAGGAGGGATCTTCCGCTTGTTCCTCTGTGGCTGCTGCAGGTTGAGGTGACAGAAGCTCTTCCTCTTCTGCAGAGAAGGTTTGGTCTGATGATGGAGGTGAAGTTGGAGATGACTCTTGGGTTTTCAGCTGCAGCCTTTGAAAATCACAGAAGGAAGAAAAGAATGATCTCATTTAGAACTGCAATGAGGCAACTTCAGATACATATACATTTTTGTTTTTTTTGTTTTTTTGTTTTAAAACTCACTGGGCTACATGTTCAAAGTGCTGCTCGCCCTCAGAATCCGAAGAGGAAGCACCTGTAGGACCAGAGAACAAACAAGTGTACGCAGTTCATCTCCAATCATGTTTTCCATTAGCCTGTAAAACTGCTAATGAGAAAAAAAGAAACATAAGAATCACCTTCTACGTAGATCTCAGCTGACGTGGAGTCGGTACCATAGAAATTAGATGCAAAGCAGGAGTAGCGTCCGGTATCTTCCTCGAATGCCTCTGCGATGATCAGAGAGTGAAGCTCTCCGTTGGTGATGATCTGAATGTCTGGGCTGTTCTCCAACTCTTTGCCTTCACAAAACCACCTGCAAATGAAAATATACAGAAATCTGCTCAGTACTACTCAAAATCGGAAGCTTCTTCCAGTGCTACAGTTTACAATAACGTCCTGTTATTACTGAAAATATGTTGAATGTAAAAATCTTCTTTAGTTTCTTTTGTATTAGTTTTAAAGGTGCCCTGTGGAGTTTTTGACCACTAGTATTGCTAAGGAGGGATGTTTTCTTGAGTCCCCGTTTTGTCTGTATGGGCGCACACACACGAGCATGCATGCAGCAGAGAAGGAGACGACTGCTGGGCTGTAAACATGGACATAAACAATGAACAATGCAGAATATTTATTTATGAGGAAGGAGATGCGTTCAGTGTTTGTTAAACCTCAAGGATACACACAATGCATTTAGGTGAGAATCACTGAATGTAAACATGACTCTTACATGTTTACAAGAAAACGCCACAGGGCACCTAGAATGAAGTTTCATTCATTTCCTGAAACATTTCAGAGGAATTTCAAAATAAAACCTGATCAAGGAAGTAAGGAGGTCATTCATTTATATTTCAAAAACTTTTTGGTGCCTTTTGGTGGATCAGATAGAAATTGGAATCACTCTATATCTATTGGTCAGAGGTTAAGTGCTCTCATTTCTGTAACTGAATAGAGTAAATTTCATGTTCCTATGTTCCTCTAGTTTTGGAAAGGCAAGGATTAAGAGTATCCTGTGATTACAGGGCAATGGACATGGACTGGTGGGTAGCGTATATTTGTAATGAAATGGTTATAGTCAGAACACCACATTAGCATTTTCATCCTGACCACATGTACAAATGTATAAGTCAAAGGAAAAACAACATTACGTGTACGTGTCTTTGTAAGGGTTTGGGCTCCACTTCTATTGAATAGGCATAAATTCTCCAAGTCTGTGGAAGCTCTGTCAGTCAGAGGGATAAACACTATTCCTCCAAACACATGCCCTCATTTATATGATTCATATCATTTTCATACTCATTGAGTGACCTTCATGACCTGCAATTGTTGTGTTTCTGCACATTTGTATTCAGGATTTTCCTTTAATTTGCCACCTGTCTGTAACTTCCACTGTCATGATAGTGCTGTCAAGTGACTTAACTATTATTTCAGTGAGATATGACTCTCCTACCATTGTTTTACAATTTAAAACCCCACCCACCAGTTCTCTTTTTACTCCTATTAACCCTCTGACACTGTGTCTATGAGGCTGGTACCATGTGGTGTCTCTCCCAGTTGCCTAATAGTGCCTCTGGCTCAGTGCCATCCAGTAGAGTTATGCAGGCCAAGAGGAAAAGGTTTTGATGAGCAAGCCCTATCTCTTTCCCTGTAAGACAAGAAGCAACACCAGCACAACATGCCAGTTTGGAGGCTGCTTCAATTCAATGTTGATGTTATGAATCTAAATAGATTTAAGGCACCTAGGGTAATGTGTTAAAGTGAATGAAAATTGTGTGAACCTAATTATCTAATCAAATAATAAACCTAATCAATATTGTAATCTATAATTTCATACAGTCAAATTAGGAATAAAAGGACAAAAATCATATTGAAACATGTGATAAATGACACCCACTACCTGTCTAACAGTACACACCTACATTAGTCCTACTTAGTAATATCTTTGGGTGTTATCCAAAATTTAATATCTTGATACAGCCCAGACCAAATATCGCAATATACGATATTATACAATATTTTTATATATAATAAAATTATTAATTATCAAGCAAAGCTGTGAAATGAGGGTCGGAGGTGGCAGCAGAGCAGACTGTGCAAAACTACAAAAAGAAAAACAAAAAGGGCCCGAACCTACTTAGTGGTATCTAGTATCTTGGAGTGGCAGTTGGCAACAGGCTATTTTTTATTACTATAATAGTAAACCTGTAACTTCCCCCCTGCCCTGACCAGCAACATACGCAGCAGCCTCTACGTCTAAGTCGGATCTATTTTGAGCACATGACACCTCGATGCTTCATCAAATCCAGCCAATAAACAAACAGGAATGAGGCGCTGCGTTACCCTCTGTCATCATACAGTCATAGATCACATCCAGTGCTTTCATCAAACTCATAAATCGCTAAGATCAGATGCTTTTTCTTGTAAATATGCAGACAATTATCCTGCTTAGCACTGTGACCAAAAATGTCTCAAACCCCACAGAAAACAATTCCTCTAAACACAAACTAAGCTCCCTGTGGGTCTGTCAACTAGTCCGATCTATGGAGAGAAATTCATTTAAGTTTTTGTATTTTAAAAAAAATTACAGTGAAAACATGAAGCCACACTCGAGCTGTGTTCCTGGTACTTGGATGCAACAGAAGCGAAGTTGCTGGAATGTGCTTTCAGCCTTCTGCATGAGCTGAGCTGATGTCCTTTCTAATGAGAATGAGTAAAGGTCTAAATTGAAAGCATGAGTAGCAGAAGGGGGCGGCTGGTCTGTGAGTCAAAGACCTTACTCGCTCACTTGCTCGCTGCACCTGTCGGGGCTATTTTCCCTCTGGAGATCAGAACCAGAGAGGAGATTCCCTCTGGAGCCCGGGAGCTCTGACTGGCTGACCCAGTCACATACGCACAACGCTAAACATAGATGTAGATTACACACAATGCTACCCGGACACACCAGAGACAGTATACTGCTGCAAAATGATGGGAAATAAGAAGCTGACAACTCTCCTTTAAGTCACACACACACGCACACACACACACACACACACACACACACACACACAGTGGCTGCATGTACAGGGAATCAAGCACAAACTTCCCACTAAAGTCGATGAAAACTGCCTCTACATGTTAACAGAATAAGCAAAATAGGAATCAAGCTTGAGCACAGTTTTAACAAAGTCACATTTTAAGTAGAAAAAACAGCAACAGAACTCACATCCTCAGACACTGAGGCCAAAAACAAACCATATAAAGTTATACACCAAGCAAAAACTGTATAAATCATCTCACCAAACTCTTCATGCTTCTGTCACGAGCTCGCTCGCTTCCATTATCAGACGCAACTACAGCTCCCAGTGCCAGTCCAATCTAAAAATGGCCGAGAGCTACATTCTCCCCGAGCAAGTATATGTTAGTGGCTCAACAATGTTCAGTAGGACTAACAAGCCCATGCCCCCCTATAGTCTGACACCTCAGCCTCACTCAGTCAAGTCTTTGTTGTCCTGGGAGGGAAGCTGCAGGTCCACCCCGAGCTTTAAAACATATCTGACAAAACTGCCATCAAAGAGCAGAAGACAAGCGTTACCTAGAGTTTAAACTGCTGTGTCATCTTAGGGTTCAAAATTTAGACTGTATGAACTTTTGACTGTTGAACACTGTAAATTTCCCCACAGTGTGACTTATCTTATCTTATCTTATCTTATCTTATCTTATCTTAATTAGGATGGCACTCTGTTAAGAACCTACTGCTATTCTTCTTAAGAACAACAGAGAGCCTGATGTGATTTTTGTCCCAGACACAACCCTGACCCCACACAAACACACACTCACACCTTTCAGAATCAGCTGTTGGCTATCATCACATGTCACATGTCTGTATCCAACAAACTGCATCATTCATCTTAACTCACACTTTTTATAATACTTAGTTATTATACTGCATGATCTGAAGCCAAGACACAACATAGCTCATGATGTGGGTCACAAGTTATAACAAATTATTCTTTAAATAATACAAGATCCTGACTGATACAGGAGGTAAAAATCTGATATATAATACATCAGCTGCTATCTGTTTTATATAAATGTATAATATCTATAAAAACTTTTTATTAAGAATCTCTTAAATTTGATTTTGAACCAACACATTTCCTGAGTGGGACATTTTACAGCTGAAAAATAAACTTGTCAGTGATCTCTGGTGGACAAACTGACAGCGACACTGTTCCTGAATTACCTCAGACATACGTATGTTTAGTGCTGCTCTGCTGCAGTTTCTTGTAACATGTTAGCAGAGAGAGGTGGCAATACCGATGTATGTATGATAAGTTATATTGGATAATAATACTAGGCGCTACTATACACCCTGTATTTCTGTGTGATCATTGTCATCATTTAAAAGCATGTTTTACAGCTTTTTCATCTGCAGAATGACTTGTATACAATAAATTATGAATTAAAGTATATTCATAAACAGTCAAATTAAAAGTAGCAGTACTGCCAAATGAAAATTCTCCATTACAACACTGAAAATATGATTAAAATAAAAGTATAGAATTATTAGCAAAATGTATTTAAAGTATGAAAAGTAAAAGTACCCACAATTCAGAAAAATAGCCTCTGAGTGCTAAACTATCAGATATTATATTACTGGATTATTAGTGCTGATGCCTTAATGTGTCAGTTTTGTTGTAGTTGGTTTGTGTCTAATTGTTAGACTATTATATATGCTGTTGGGAGTTAAATATATAAAGATGCATTTGTTTTATAAGCTCTTCATATGTTTTGTATGTAAAATTTTCATCTTTAAATTAAATCAAATGTTATGGAGTAAAAAGTACATTTGTGGTGGAGTAGAAGCTCCTCAGATTTATACTCCTGTACAGAACATCATTCTTTATTCCACTCGTGAATAAAAGTAAAATCATGTGACCTGCTCTGACATGTTACCCTCATCTCTTGTTCTTGTAACATCTTCCCAAAACAAACAGGTTTCCTTCACTACACTGTGAAATTTCCAGGGGGAAGTCGACTGCTGACACAAAGCACACTGACCCTTTACATTTTTTCAGTGAGACGAACTTGGACTGATTTTGAAGGAGCCTGAAGCAGGAAGTCTTATTGTATCTGCTGCAAACTGAGACATAAACTAATATTAGCAGATCAAAGAGTGCAGAAAGTGTCAGGTTTCACTTACCGGACTTCAGGCACAGGGAGTCCTCTTACAATGCAGTCTAACTGGACCTTGCTTCCCTCTGGAACCTCCCTGCTTTTCAGTTTCTGGATGAAATGAGGAGGCTCGCACACAGGCTCTGCTGGGTAGGGAGGTTCTGTCAAGGCACAGCTTTCATCCTCCTCCTCAACCTCCTGGGAAACACAGTCGTACGGCTGCTCTTCAGTAATCCTGCAGTCCTGAAACTCCACGTGCCCAGCCCCAGAGTCCAGCTGGACCTCTGGTTGGTGGCTGACAGCAAGGCTGGGTCTCTCCATCTCCACCTCAACGGGCATGACAGCGCGCTCCCTGTCGTCTGAGCTGAGGGGATAAACTACCTCATCGTTCTGGCTCTTGTTCTGGACCCTACTCCTGTGAGTTTTGCACGTTCTTGGTCGTATCCGTTTGGAGCTGTTGGCCTTGAAGAGAGAGGAGAGCTCCTCAATGAAGTCCGCTGCCTTGTTGAGGAACTCCTTCTTGGACTGGGTCTCCATCCCGTACGGGGCGTTCCTCGCTGACCTGTTAACATCATTGAATTCTTCACTGGAGTCCCTGCTGTTCCTGATCATGTGGTCCTGCCGTGTGGAGGCTTTATGCATCTTTCTGTCTGATGTGAATGTTGTGTGTGCTGCTGGCAGTTCTTTGATCTCAGGGGCTGGCTGGGGGAAGGCCACAGTGGCGGGGGCAGCAAGAGGAGCGGGAGAGGGGTTAGCAAGGGGAACAGAAGGGGGTGTAGAGGAAGAAACTGAGACGGAGGAGATGTTAGAGGGGGTTAATGGTGCTACAGAGGCCTTGACCTCTGCTCTCTCCTCATGAGGCTCATGTCCGATGGCCTGGCGAGCCAGGTTCACGCTCTTATCCAACTCCTCCTGGCTGAGGAAGGCTGAGAGGTCTGGTAACTGGGGGTCATTGTGGCCCACAGAGTCCTCAGCTTTGCCTTTGAGTGACCCGTAGATCTGAAGACGTGTGGAGGAAGCATCTGAGCGGCTCATCTCGCTGTGGCGCTGCTGGGCTCGGGCCTCTGCCAGGTAGCTCTCTCTTAAGAGCTGAGACAGTGACGGTGGCTGGTCAATGTTGTTCTCTTGCATGCTGGGGAAATAATAACAAGGCATTCAATCACATTCAAGCTCACTTTCCATCCTCCAACACATAGTGTAGTTTTTTAGTGATTCCCTACCTCACAAGTAGGACAGTGCAACCCTAAGAAACCCTGCACACTATATCATTTGTATTCTCTTTAAAGCTCCATATTTTCCTCTTCTTCTGTGTTTTATTTGAAGTGTTGATCCATAAGAAGATATATTTATGGTTTTAAGAACCAAAAACCATCTCCATGTAGTTTTACTTCTCCTCTCTCAGGCTTCTCTCTGGAGCTCTAGTAACAACAGGTCGGTGAGCCAATCAGAAGAGAGGAGGCTCTGAGCCTCTCTTCTGATTGGCTCACTGTTTTCTGAGTGATTTAATAAAAATATAGCAGATTTCAGGTAAACAGTCAGAGAAACCAAATCCTGCGAAGTTGGATGGTGGGTCTAGGTAGGCGTGGCTTATGGCACGACTGAGAGCAGTAACTGCTTTGTTGTGACATCACAAAGTTCCAGAAGTCCTGACGGCTGGTTTTAAGGCTCAGTTTCTGAAAACAGGCTGTGTGCATTTCTCTGTGGTCTGAGGCTTTGATACTTTCACAGTATTAATACAGAACCTAGACCTGCTTTATAATCAAGCAACACATGGACATCTACCTTTAGACTGTACGGGACCTTTAAGAAATGGCGTTTCATTTTTTTGGTCCAAGCTGCATTCAGATGATCACATCTTTGTCAGAAAAACTAAATATTGAGGGAAAACAACTGATAATGTAACCAAACAAAAACTAAAGCTAACTAAGGTTTACTCTGATGGACAACCAGTTTAGTGCATATTTGGTTTTACCCACTGTACTGAAAATGACTGAAACTAGTGGCTGTCTGGAAGATAGGACATTGATCTAAAATATGTATGATATAATAAGCAGAGGAGTTGAAAAGATTAGTCAATTAACTGATGACTTGAATGACAGAGAAGTAACTGGCAACAATTAATGACATTTTTCAAGTAAAACTGCTATAAATGCACAGCTGTCGATTTACTGCTTTCTTGTCTTCTGAAACACTCGAAACTAAATACTTTTGGATTCTTTTGACAATTTCTCAGAACAACAGGAGAACAAGCAAGACGTCAGCTTGAGCTCTTTCTTTCTTTCTTCTTTTCTGACATTTTATAGAACAAATCATTTATCAATTAATCGACAAACTATCTGCAGATTGAGCTGCTAGTCGTTGCAGCCATAATAAAGCAGTAGTGTAAAGAATAAAACATACATGATCCTTGAAGTCACTGACATGTCTCACACACCTTTAAGTGCCCAAAGGAAGTAAAGGGGGAATGACTTATGGCCAGATCTCAAGAAATGAAAAGCAAAGCCTTTGTTTTAGTCCCTGCACATGTCAGTCATGTATCTGATAAAACCTTATACATGTGTGCATCATACATGCATTAATATTACACTAAAAATATTAAAACAATCCTTTGTGAAATATTTAGTGCAAAGACAGAGCATGTATACAGACACCGTAGTTAAAAGCAGGGGATATGTGGTAAAAATAGCTTTTTATTTTAGCCTAATTTCAGCCTTCCTCTCGTCTCGACAGGGTATCAGCTTCATGTGCTGACACCAGATCTGAGGGGATAAAGGCAGGCGGGTTTCTGCCCCTCTGCACCTCACGCCAACAACACACTAACATGTCGTTTAGCCTTCGCACAACTTTTTGACACTGGGCATGAGCAAGTTATTGAATACAGACATGAGATAGGGTACACATATGCTACTGACACTCAAATCAGCGCAATTAAGAGAGACAGCAATGCCCTTCCAACAGACCTGAAGCTGCAGCTGTTGTGTACATTAATCCTTTGCAAACAGCCTCCGAGCCCACCAAGTCATATCTAATAATAGCGAGGGGTCAGTTTACATGAAGAAAATCAACAAAAAAAAAAAAAAAGCAGTCCCTCTCTTCCTGTGTGCCCTTGTTATCGTGATTTTGATCAGTCATTAATTCAATTACACAAACAGAACTATAATTATCATAAATGGGACACTGCTGAGTGAGATAACACACAGTCCTGGCCCACACAGAGGAACGGACCCCTGGCTAAACACAGCACCACCCATCCAGGCAGGTTAAGATAATTCAATTAAATAGAAGCACAACATTCAAACAGAAATAGACTCCAGCTCATCTGAGGCTCAATGTCAGAGATTTTCTGAGGCTATACACAGCATATTAGGCTGATGCCAAACACAGTCAACGGGACACTGAACAACAATTAAATTAGGGGGGGTGGTATGCTTTACCTTCAGAATCAACCCAGCTGGCCCCCCGTGAAGGACCGGTAAATCCTCAGGGTGCACCTGTGCTCAAAGAGCGAGATTCCAGTCTTCCCGTTGCTGCCACCTGGGGAAATCTTGGACACAGGCGGCTGCCCAGCCTTCCTGGTTTTTTATCGTGCAGAGTTAACCTTGGAGTTTACAGGAAAATATGGAGCCGAGTAGCTAGGGTAACCTGTCACCAGTAAAAGTAGCAACATTTGTCAGTGCAGTAGTCGCAGGTTATTTTTGGGGGGAGGCCTGGCCCATGTGTCTGGGTAGCGTCCCTGCTCATTGGCCAGGGGGGGCGTGCTGTAAAGGGATTCCTCCTCCAGTGGCCCATCAGAGACCTCTGTCCTACAGAATTAGAAGCCCCTTGTTGAGACTCACACACACACGCACACACACACACACACACATTAATGTTAACACAGCAGACACACACAACAGTGATAATCATTTCTTAAATACTTATGTTGCCTGGGAGACATCTGGCTTCAACATGACAATTACCTTGATTAGTTTTCATATAAAAAGATTCTCCACCACAGATTCTGAAACAGCATTTGAACCAAGTGGAATTTTATTCATTTGTTTCAACATGGATATTGTTGCAGCATGTTAAAAGACAAAGTGATATAATCTCAGTAAATAACATAATACATCCAGTGTTTGGCATCTGCAATGATTCTGGTTTCCTTCTGCTTCATTAAGTTTACAATAATGCCTACTTATTGAAGAGAACATCACTTCTCAAGATCCAGATTTAAAAATACTGAATAGTGAAAAGTAAAATCAACTGTGTCCCAGGGTTAATGAAGTAAGTTTATTTGAAAGATGATGAGAACCATTTCCAAGAGCACAGACGGAAAAGAGGAAGCAAGCCTGAGCTTCTATTTACACTTAAAACAGTGTAAGACCTTGTATCAAATACTTCTATTCAAGTGACGCTAGTGTACGCGGAGCACTATCCAAAGACAAAAACTATTTACATCATGAACAGGCCTATAACATGTTAGGAACACTTAATGCACAGGTGTGCCAGACTTAGGTCAAAACATTATTTGCATATCATTTGTTTCAATAAATCCATGAAGCAACAGGTTGAATATATTTACAGTTAAGGGACGATTTAGGCAAGTTGTCAAACAGACTGAAGGACAATTAGGAAATTCTCAAACACTGTTCTGTGGTTGTCCAAGCTTTCTGGCACTCTGTGTAATGTTCGTACGTGGCAATCCCTGCCAGTCCTACATGTGAGGCTAAAACAAATAAGTAATATTCAAAGTTAGAATTTGACTTAAGTCTAAACAAACAAACGGGTCAACCAAAGCTCAAAACGTGTTAGTATAAAAAACTGAAATGGCTCAGACAGCATACAACATTAACAATGTCAGCTTGAATCCGATGTATTATATATATATATAAAAGAAAAAAAAAAACAAGTACTGCAAATCCTCTTTGGCGTAACTGGAAAATACAATCCGGTTTACCAACACAGTAAAGGCAACATGAAGAAGAGAATCATAGTTGAGGTCAATGATTTAGTTTCCATTTTTCTCCATACTCACTTGTGTTGACTGTAGCCACTGGGTTACACACACAGTGGGTGAAACCAAGGGATTTGTAGTATTAACACATGGACAGTATTATTAGCAGCAATAGAAAGTCTTGATTAGCCCAGTCTATCAAAACCACACAAGACACTTCCATGTTAAAGGTTAGGAATGAAATACCCACCATCAGCCTATCCCCTGTCAGGATACCTGATCAGACAGACATGGTGAAGGCACTCTTCAAATGAGGAGAGCATGAGGAAAACAGTCTGAGGACACACAGCAGCATCCTACAAATACTGAAGCTGGATGCGTCATAATCACAGAGGAAAGCACCATAATGGATGCCTGTGTGCTTGTTCTTTAGTGCAGTGAGATTAAGCTTCTGCTCGACAACTCAACATCATGTTCTCTTTGTTGTTCACAGTGTTTTGTGACCTTGAGTCGAGGGAGATGAAACTGACGCATTGTTAACATTGTACCTAGTGCAGTGAGCCAACTTGTGATAAAGATGTAGGAGGCACAGTAATAGTTCCGCAAAGGATCTTGTGGCACCGGCTCGGCCATCAGGAGTCATCGCTGGCACGCTTGCGAGACTGGTCACCTCTGGAAAATGAGGACAGCACATTAGTGGTTTAAGGCAAACCTTAACCCGTGTTATATTTATTAAGACTGTGATTAGCCTCCGAAAACTTACCGTGGAAATCCGTTCATGGAGAGTTCCATCTGTAGCTTCTGGTCATGAGCAGCGTAGTCAGACAGCAGAGACTCCACAGCAGGAGGGTTGATTTGGGGAATAAACCCAGAGAAGAGAGCTGGGGCTAACTGGGCCCATTCTGAAAGAGGAAACAGAAAATCTATTAAAAAGAAGAGCATGTGTGGAGCAGCTGATTCTGCTGGAGAAATGAATATATGTGTCAGTTTTGTTTGCTGTAGTGGAGAGAGAAAGACTGAATTAGCTTGTACTTAAGTGACATTTAAACAGATAATACATAGAAAAGCTTTCTGGCAGCAGAACAGGTAAGAACCATGAACGAAGCTCACCTGGTTGGAGGCTGTAGAGGCCTTTAACCACACTGGCCATTGTAGATGGCTGCACTTGAAATGGCATGGAATGAGCTTTGATGAGAAGAGCTGAACGAGAAAAAATAAAATAAATAAAAAACACAAATATTTCAAAAGTCACTCCTACATTTTAGCAAAAGGGTCAGGTCTTCTGTAGATGCAGTTTTGTTGCACAGTCACAGTTACAAGCAAAGGAACAATTTTCAAAATTCACAACAGCCATCAGGGCTTCAAATGAAGAAATACACTCACGCATCAGTGTGTTCACATGTTTTTCTGCGACGTGATCAGCAAACAGCTTCATCAGATCGTCTCTTAGGTCTCTGTTCAGCTTTGACTCGATGTAGAACTTGTTCTGAAAACATTCAAAATGAAGAAATTGAGAGGCCAGCACAAAGGTGTTCAGGTTATGTATTAATATTTGTTGAATATGTGTTATATTTTAGAAAAAGATGCCCACCAAGTACATAAATACAGGAACTATACATTGAAGAGAAGCTGTGTATTGTGTCAGTGCAACATTGAAGTTCTCAATGAAGTTCTCAGGTGGGCTGGTCTGGAAAACAATAACAAAAGTGTTAGTTAATAGTGTCTGTATGTGCTGCATATGATGATCTCCTTGTATCTGGATTTCCTTACTTGTAGATGGGTGGAGACGTGTTGAAGATGAGTTGTTATTTTTGATGTCAAATCATTGTAGAGCAGCTCAGAGTGCTGCTGACAAACACACTTGTAGATGTAACTGAGAAAATAAAGTAAAAGACCATTAAAGAAAAGCTGCATCTCAACTGAAACTACCAGTGATGTACGTGGCAACTTCATGGGTCTCAGCAGAAATCACATTCTGTAGAAAAAGCTGCACAAACAGCTCGTGTGTGTTTAATCAACATCCCTGTACGTGTAAAGTCTCACCTGTATATCTGTGCATAAGAAACAGAGATGTGGTCTGTGGGATTCTGAACCAGCAGACGGTCAATTGCCTTCTCCAGATTTGGCCAGTGGTTTTTCCGGTAGTCTTCTACTGCCATTGCATTCAGGACTGTGTGTAAAGAGGAGAGAGGAGGCCTCAGAAACCAACATTATCAGTGACCTGCCTGCCTGGCAGGGGCATCACTCTGTAGTCCCCCGGCAGCTCGGCCTGCTGTCGGGGGACTACAGGATTTCAGGCCCCGCTGCTTAAAGTCAACTTACGGAACTTGGAAGTAGAATCGAGGGTGAATTTTCCCTCGGCGGCGGCTGGCGGAGCCGTGCAGTCAGTCTCACTGACTTCGCTGTTCTCACTCCCTGAATCCGAGTCCATGAACTTTGACCCTCCTGTGCTGCCGGACCGTAGCTTCCCTCGTCGAGTCCCCGGTTCCCCTCCCGGTACCGGTGGGCAAACGGGCTGCGGGACCGTCGTTACATCCGACAGTCGGCTGCTAAGATACGTGCGGACCTTACTGCTGCTGCTCGCACAGTAGTTGTGGTTATGGTCGTCTTTTACGTCCAAACTATCATCCTCCATGGCCTCCATCTTCACAACCGGACCTGTGTACCGAACCCTGGCGTCACTAGATAGCGATAAACATTTCAGATAACAAATAAAGATGAAGACAGAAACTGTCAACCGTCTTTGGTTGAGTCCATCTCGGATTTGGTGTTGTTGACTGAATTTTTACGACATGTCGCATCACCGAACAGTCGAGAGAAAGCAGGGAAATGTAGTTCCAACGACTGGATGAAGAAAAGTTGCCAAGCCTAGCTTATTTGAACCAGTAAAAAGAAATTAATAAACGTACTATCAACACATTGAGTAGTTTTATATTACGGCATTACAGATTAAGCATAGAAAAATCATGTTACCGTACTACGCCTGAACAAACTAGTGACGTTTAGCTATAGAATCCCCCAAACGTTATCGACTACACAACGTTAAATGCTTACGTATTGTTCTGCTGTCTTAAAACACTTTCCTGAGAATAACAGGATAACAGTATCTAAACGAAATGCTACTCTCGCAGAAACCCTCTCACTCTAGTTAGTATTTGAAAGAGGAAACAGGAACTGGCAGGATGTGTTCAGTGGCGCTGGGTGACGCGCTTTTCACGCCTGCGCCATCACCTGGCAGGTGTGTTTGAAGTAACAGAAATGACTGGTCAGTGTTTTTCATTCTTGTTTTTACTGAGAACCCCAGGAGAAATAACAACTATAATGATGTAAAAATGTTTTTCCTTAAACCGTAAACAAAACATTACCTTGTAAATGGCATGTGAATTATGTTGGTGTAGACACTTATCCAACACATTGGCTCAAATATGTCCATCTACCAACACTTAATCTTTACAGGCAGCAGACTCTGTATGATGAAGGTAACTGTTTTTTCTTTTGTTTTAACTCTATGAAAAGTGACAGGAGCAACAAAACCGGTTTCATAAGAAGGAAAAAAGTGCTGCTTTTCAATGTGAACTCATTGAATATATTCCTAAGGCTTAATATTACAACTTAGTATAACTTTGTACAGATAAAATCACCTACTCTTCGATGAGTATGTCTCACATCAGAGTATAAAAATAAGAGGCTTGACCATAAAAAAGTAGCTGCCACATGTCAGAAGGAACACCTTGTCAATAGTTATATTTTTCTTCCAAGATTTAAATGACAGGTTAAACATACAAAGCTTGTGACAACGTAGGAGCGCGTTGATGAAGTGTTCTTTGGTCTAAAATTAAAGAGTACTGTTCCTTTTTCCAGCATTTACCCTCAGGAAAGAGCAGAGCTGAACTTTTTATATTGCAAGTTAGAATGATGCCTTCAAGTAAACCATCTGAAGATTTATGTATGTGTCTGAAACTCATAGTACCCACTATTTAGCAGGCAGTAGGTTTACATATTTACATGTTTCCCAGTGGTAACAAGAACCAACTCTGAAACACATCATTAGATCACAGTTGACATCACACTATGGGCTGAGATTCACATTTGAAGCCTTTCCTTGTAATGACTGCGATTTAGGAATTAAAGCTTAATCTAGTGTTGCATTTGTGGTATGCCGCAGTAGATGAGAGAATCAGCTAAATTTCTGAAAATGTAAATGCAAAATCAGACTAGCACATGGAAAGAAATCCTAAAAAAAAAAAAAAAAAAGAAAAAAAAAGAAATTAAAAACACAACTACTGCATTCTATTTAGTAAGTAGCATACAGTATGATGTTTCAGACACAATGCATGTGACCAAAGTGGGCACAGAAAAAAAAACAAGGGAAAAAAAAAAACTTGATGCATATTCACACAAAGTTGTCACGCAATTTCAACTTTATGAAAAATAATAGTAAGGTTGATGAGTCAAAAATATACGAAACATATATATATATATAAAGACAATTAGTGCTTTGTTGACAGGGTACTTTACATTTAAAGGTGTGTGGTGCTCTGTGTCTTTTCAGTATTGTCTGTCTGCACACTTGATGTGGCCTCATTGGCTAAAGTGTGTTGTATTGTGTCTCTGAGGCATGTGTCTCCATCTGCTGCTGCTAGTGCATCCGCTTCGTCTGGCTCACTGTCCTCTTCCACCCCGTCTGCACTGCACTCGGACTCGTCACTGTCGCTGCCACAAGAGCTCGACGTCTCATCTTCAGAGTCGGAGTAAACCTCAGCCCCATGAAAGACATAGTGATTCGGTGCTTGGAACAGATACTGGCCTGCTGTGGGAAACAATACAAACAATTTATTAAGCTGGAATCAATATTTGGAGAAAATCATTACTTCACAACTTTGGCATTTATAATAGGCTTACTCTCAAGGCGTTTGCTGATTGGACTTCTGTTGATTCGACTCATCCAGCATCTTCTACGAAATTCAAGGTTGGAGGTTTGGCTCTTAACTTCAGCGGCCTCCTCTTTTGGTGCATCGTCTGCTGGTAGCTCTGAAGGCTCGGCTGTCCCTTCACTGGGACACTGGGCATTTGGACAAGGCTCTGGAGGTGTAACATTATTACCAGCAGTCTCTGTGGCATTCAGACTTTCTGTCTCCTCTGAAGGCTTAGTTACTGAGTCTGTACTGTGCTGCTTCTGCTCCTCCTGAGCTGCGTCGCTGGAAGCAGGCAAGGCCTCGCTTGGTGGTTGTTCTGGTAACCGTGGGGGTTTCTCTGTGATCTCAGTGAGTCTTACAGTGTTGTAGCAGAGCTGCTCAAAGTCTCCACCCAATCGATGACAGAGCTCGTTGACAATGACATCACAGTCCCCAAGTAGCTCTACATCGAAGTTGAGGTGAGGCAGCTGCTCCCTATTGATCAGGACCTGAGGCACTTCATGAGGAATGGAGTCTGGATGGGATGAAGAAGAGAAAACAGTTATGTATTACATGTTTACATTAACTGCAAGCACAATGGAAAAATGCTGGTTATTGCATGCATCTTATAAAAGAAATCCATTCATCTGATGAAACCATACTTGGGATGAGGGCAACTGGTCGGACTTTAAGAGAAGAGCCAATGACTATCAAGAGGTCCACCTCATCTTTATCCTGCTTCATGGCTCTGTGGAACATTTCTGGAAGATTCTCTCCAAAGAAGACTATGTCAGGTTTCATGATTGCCAAGGGAATATCTGGACACCGTCGACAACGAGGGACAACCTGCAAGAAGAATTTATCTTATTAGCACTATAACAGAATATGGTGTTAAAGGAACGCAATGCCAAACGTCCTCCTTACTTTGGTAGGGGGTTGCATATCTATAAAATCCACAATATTAGCTAATGTCTTCTTAGCAGGCAGCTGTACACCCCTGATTTACTTCCACAAGTGACTGAAAGTTGTACTATCATGGATCTTGCAAAATCTCTGAATAGACCTGTTCATGCAGAGATTTCATTTTATTCTTTCTGTAGTGTTCTGCCAGTTTGAGCTTGAGCTGACAACCACATGTCACATTTTAAAGTATGTTCATTACATATGAAAAAAAAAAAACTAAAAATACATATAAAATATAAAATACACATTTTCATTCTTACCCCTGATGAAATGTATTAAGCAAACAGCTTTAACAAGTATTTGACATCTGCTGCTACATGTCCAATACAATGAAATTGAATTACATTTGAAAAGTTCTGTATTTTTTTGGATGAACCAACCCACTACAAACATTATTTACAGTGTGTTAATGATGATGGACAAACTACCTGAAAAACATTTTCACTGTCATTAATATAACACCACCACCACCACCACTAGAATCTCAAAAATGACTGTAGAGTTATTGACACTGGTTGATGCTTATAGTGTTTTAACTGCACCATGTTTGGGCAATACTGATGACACTCATCTATCAGAGTATAGATTAAGAACTTAATATGTCATTTTGCAGCATAAATAAAATTCAGACCCTTTTCATTGAAGAGACTTTGAATTCTCAAAGCAGGAAAATGACAGGTGGAGCTTATTACATAAACCATGGCCCCCTTCCAGCAAATGATGGAACACAGTGCAGCGATTAATAATTATTTGTTACCCCTGTGTCAAAGCGTCCAAATTGCTCCTCCTGGTCATGTTTGTCCCAACCCTGGAGTGGCACTTCAGTGCTAACACAAGTGTATGACATACACAAAACATCTTACAGTCAGCAAATGTACACTGATCAGCCACCTACGGCTCTGTAAGAGTTTTGACTGGAAGTTGATTGTGAAGGAGTTGCACTGACCCTGAAATTCTAGATGTTACTGTTGGACAACACAATTTGTACATTTTCATTTAAATTGTTGCAGCTGTTTCTTAACATGCATAGTATGTAATAGGCTTCAGGATTTGTGGGGAATACTTTGATAAAATGGCAGTGTCTTGTGACTTTGATGACGTGGTATCCAACAGTACATTAAAATGTGTTATCCTGGATCAGTTTGTAATGCATAAATACCTGGTTAAAGATGTCTTCCCTTACAGCCTCACAATCCACTTTGTGTTTACAGACGAGACAGGACGCAGTTGCAAACGACCCTGAAATAAAAGCATTATTTTATTTTCATTATCACCACAGACAGAACTATATACAAACTAAGATTCAGGATTAGCTGTATCACTTACCATGACACTGGATAATCCGCTGAACTCCAGCCACTTGTTCTAATGTATCAATGTTTTGTGTGTAATTGCGAAGCAGTTTCCCTTGCTTATCCAACATAGATATAAATTTGTGACAGGGTGAAGGCTGGAACTGACCAGGGTAGATCTCCTGTAACAAAGAGGATGCATTCAGCACTAGCGGACAGAATCCAAAGCTTGCTACATATCAGCTCTGTTGTGGCTTCACTGCACCCTTCATCTTTTCAACTGTTTAAATCCTGGTTGAGCTTAGTCTCGGAACATAAACTGGAGCTTTTAACACCAAATAAATATAAATGCAGCACAGTGGCTGAAGGACAAGTTGTACTTGCTCTCCAAAAGTTTAATGTTATGACAGCAGATGCCTCTGAATTTGCTGAAGCCTCAAAATGTTCACAGCAGAGAATCTTTTAGAGAATGTTATCCTAGAAATTGAGGTAAACAAGTTCAAAATCTTCTTTTAAAACATTTTGTATGCACCAAACACGTTTTCTGCACACAAGGATCTGGTGCACCATATATTATTACATTAAAAGCTTTTGTTCATAGACCTTTCTTCAGTCAAAGGGCATGTATCTCATCTCATACCCAAGGATAAACATTGTTTCATATTAGTACTATAAAGGGTAAGAGCTACAAAAATGGAAGCTACAGGATACTATGTATAATGATGCACACTCTTCTACAGTCATGCACCTGGAATACATAGATGTGCTTGTATGATGCTTGCATGTATATATTACTTTTCATTACTTTCTGTGTGCAGATATCTGCAACACCTTGCAAAGGTTCATATGAGCATATTTAGTTTTGAATACATAACTAAAAAAAAGTTTATTATCTTATTACACCAAACACTTGGATCTTAGTTGCAGGCAATCAAATCATTTTTCAATATTTTGTGGTTAACTTTGAGTCTGCACACGAGTAAGTGGACACGATGAACAAACCTTAGCAAACTTGAAAAAGGGTCTTGGGTCCCGTCTGAAGTATTCAATATCAAACATAGCTTGAGGGTCTGGAAGATCTGGGAAATCTACAGCGAGCCGTGCATAAATTCCATCTCTGGAACGAAAGTCTGGTATTCCACATGAAACGGACACCTATAAAAAGAGAATACAAGCTGACTTAATAACATTAACACTGCTACTAAGTATTAAATCAAACACATGGTAATCTTAAATATCTGTATACTTTATAGTACTACCGTAGATGCATACCCCAGCACCAGTCAGCACAAGGATCCTTTTACTTTCATGGAGTAGCCTAACCACGTCTTCTAAAGTGTTGATGTCCTTTCGCTTTTTTCTTTTTGGAGGTTCTGAGATGTTGATGATAATCTGCCACAATGTCATGTCGTCTAAGTCTGGTGGAAGTACAGTCTCAGGCAGCAAATCCCTCAGGATGGTCCTTGGATCAGTCTCTCTGATGTGTTGCTGGATGAAGCTGTAGGAACCTGGCCAAGAATACAACATCTCAGTATGTCTTGTATTCCCAATATGTATATCCTGTACCAATGCTTTAACACTTTCATAGTTACAAACTACACACTATCAGAGGAGTGTTAAAAGCTGCTTCAGTTTGTGGCAAGTGCTTACCTATTTGCGGTTGAGGAGTCCAGTCGCTGGAGCTTGCGTGCGAGGATCTGTCATCTTCCTCGTTGATGTGGTCCGGTGTGACAGCCAGACCGTTGGAGGGGAGATCATCGCGTTCAAGAAAATCTGAGCACAGAAATATGGGAAATGAACAAATAAAACCAGAGCTAAGTGGCGCCTATCTCTGATAACCACTATCATCAGTTAAAATCACTTTCCATGACAACAACTTCAGTGTGGTGACGTTAAGTGAACGTTGGTGGGAAACAGATATAAACCTTCTAATAAATGCTAAGTTGCTATCAAAGTTTAGAGCCGTGGGTCAGGTTTCTCTTCACTTCCCAGCGTTAACGTAAAGAAAAGCGTAAGTGTTCGTCTTGAGAAGTACACATCTCCTAACAATCACACATATTATCTACTGCGTGTAACGTTAGCTAATTAACGTTAACTTATCTTCTCTTTCAAATTTAGCTAACTCGCCGGTTAAGTTGGTAAAACAAGCACTGCCCGCTTTGAGCTGCGTAAATACTGAAGCTTTGTTAAACTGCCCGCCTGTTTTCATACCAGCACCCTCCTCGGTTGTCCCAAGTACAGCGCTGTCGTCAAGCTTCATAACTGGTTTGTGCGGCTCGGAGACCAGCAGTCCCAGTCCATTGTTGTCTCCGCCTAGCGCTGCTGGGGCCTGCTCTACCGCCATCACCGGCTTTGCTTCCTTCTCCGCTGGCTGCGCACAATTCACCGCCGCCTCCCAGCTCTCTGTGTCCGCAGAGACGCACGAGAATTGATCTGCTTCGGTTCCTTTGAACCCGTAGTTCGTTCCGGGACTGATTTTCGACCTTTTCGCGGCAGGTTCGTCCATTTCGGAGGCGCCTGAAAAGCCCGTTCCGAGACTGTTCTCTCCGTCCGCCATCTTCAGCCCGCAGAGCTGCTGAGCAGATCCTTCCTCTCCGACAGCTGGCTCATTTGCATAGCGCACGTGACCCGTTCTCCACCAGTAGTCACGACTGGAACGTCCCCCCGGTACATCGATGACATAAAACCATAACAAAATATTGATGCCTTCAAACACTGTCTGGTGAATTTCGAGCAAATGTAAAAGGCTGTGAATAACATCACAAAGTTTTAAGTAAAGTGCAGAATCAAATATTTTTCATAGTAGACTGTGAGCCATATCAACAAACACCATTTATAACTTTTGCATTAAATGTACACGTTGAAATTTTAATTACAACCTCAATCACATGCCTCATGCAAATGTGTCCTTGTCATTTTACCATCTATGCCACCTGCCGTGTAGTCCCGTCATCAGAGTATGATTTTATTACACAGTCATTCATTATGTTATCTAATTTTTTAAGGCTACCTTTGCCATTGTTTCATGCCTGTAAGAATTGTCGAATTTTGTGGGACTTTTAGTCAGACACTTGAATGCAGCATACGTCATATGGTTAAAAAGGACAGCTCAGTTTTGCCCACAACTCAGGAGAGAATTCCCTTGATACTTGTAAGCGTTTAGCATTCCCTCCGTTAATTATCCAGCGCTAGCTGACAAAATAATTACAAGATAAACTTGTGAGTGAGTGAGCCACAGCAGCGGGGCGGGGAGTCCATCAGCAACTTGAGCCAAGCAGAGCTGTGATCCAGGGTAACAGACGAGCTGTTCCGCTACAGAAAACCACACACATTTCCCCGACAGATTTTATGGAGGCTATTTTGAACTGCAAACCAGAGGAATTGGAGGATTACTACGGGTTATTGGGCTGCGATGAATTGTCGTCGGTAAGTTCTGGCCAGTGGGTTTAGGCTCAGCCTATTTGCTGGGTGACAATGATTGTGTTGATCTACAAACCAAAATGTACTGTAATAAAAGCTGTGAAGTGGACGATAATGGAATATGCTGGATGTACGCAAACGATCAGCAATTTGTAAATTGTTGAGTTGAAAGATTGATGAATTATGTATACACCAGAGGTTAGTTTGAGCCAACAGATACCTGTTGATGCTTCAGCTAAAGATGTCAGGAACTCGTGCGTCATCCAGAGCCTCCGTTGAGCTAGTATTTGGGCTCTGTGATTCACTCATTAAACATGTCCACATGTGTAACAGATGTAATACACGTTCAGCATAATATTTCATATTCAGATCATTAACAGTAGAAAGTATGACAACAGCAACTTCCGTGATGGGAACATCAATATGCATCTATAATAGACAAAATTGACAGTAACGGTAATGGTGATATCATGATACATTAAAATGTCTACATTGTTGGTACACTAAGAAAAATGTTTAATTTGAGCAGTAAACAAATGCATTTGAAGGCCATAAAATAAACTAAACCAAATGATGTCCTTCAAAAATAGAATAAGTGACTGATTCCCGAAGTACATATATTTATATTGGCAAAAGTACATTATATTTATTTAATCTGTTTGCAGACTGAACAGATTATCAATGAATACAAGATCCGAGCCTTGGCGTGTCACCCAGACAAACACCAAGGCAACCCAAGAGCAGGTAAATATGCGGTCCACTGCTGTAACACACTGGTGTGTGTTTAAAAAAAAAAAAAAAAACTCTGACAAATAAATAGAAAAACATATAATAAAACACTTTACATAGCCAGAAGTGTGATCTGGATTCAAGATGAACCCAGCCTTTTATTTTATTGCCTTTTTAATGATGTTTTTTGTCATTGTATCTTAATTTTTCTTACTTATCCCACAGTCAGTGCCTCTTTCTGATGTCTTGACTTCAAAGCAAATTATGTTAATGGGGAGCTACTTACAGCTGCATACAAAGAAGAGGGAATTTATTTCTCCTAATTCTGTAAGCATAATGTTCCATCTTAGACCCCTGATCATTTCTTTTTTTGTGACAGTGGCAGATTTTCAAAAACTGCAAGAAGCCAAAGAGGTTTTATGCAATGAAAACAAAAGGAAAAACTATGACCTGTGGAGAAGAAGTGGTGTCACTATTTCATTCCACGACTGGCAAGCCTTGAATGACTCCGTAAAAACTGTATGTGATGTCTTTTCTCTGGTATAGCTTTTTAAAAAATACTGTGTAATCTGTATGAGAAGAATTCCCAGTGATACATTTGGTCACCTGTTTGCAGTCGATGCACTGGGCTGTGAGAGATAAGAAGGAGCCGATGCTGGAGGCGTCAAAAGCAGAAATCCCGAACACTTCCCAAGCAGAGGACTTTCACTGTGAGCAGGAGGCATATGATGCCATGCCATCCTCAAGTAAGTATATTTCAAATTGTTCAAAAGCACTGGAAAGTACAGAAACCTGAATTACCTTTTATTTGAAATACTCCTGAAGAGCCAAACACAACATTGAAAAAAAACAATATGAGCATCTAATCCTGCATAATATAGCCTAGAAATAAAATATGAGGCTAGGAATTAACTTGAATACGTCCTCAATAAATTTAAATTAATATGTGTTGAATATAACTAAAATGACAATATCTGTAGCTGAGATCTTGATTTATAGAACAAATAGAGCACAAGGTGAACAAAAAGCCTTTATTTTTCATGGAGATGTACCAGCATCTGTTCTTATTAATTATACATTGATACAATTTTCCTGCACATTTTGGATTTTAAATATGGAAAATGTCACATATGCATCTGCGGTAGTGGTGGAAGAAATATTTGGCTGCTTTTAAGAAGGAAAAAGTTCATACCACAGTGTAAAAATACTCTGTTACAAATAAAATTCCAAAATTAAAAAATTTGCTTCAGTAAACTAATTAAGTGTTGCCAACAACGTCCTTAAAATAAGGGAGTGGCCTTTCAGGGGACAGAAATACTGGTGTTCAGCAGTGCCCCTAGCATCCTTACATACCTCTTCCATACTTATGGTAAGGTCACACCAGAGAGGCACTTGATAATCAGAGGAGCACTCTGGGTAACTAGAAGAAAAACTGGGGCTGCTTAAGAGCCACTCTGGTGTAGCATTTGGTCCATAGAATATTTTTCAAAAAAGGGGTGCACTTTGGCACTTCCATAAAAAAGGTCTTTTTTTCCTCACACTCTTCTTTGGGAAGCGTTCCACTTTAATGCACTGACCTTTGAGAATTTGAGTCCAGAAAAGTACAGGGAGCATTTCTCTTCAGTCCGTAAACACTTAGGAGAGCGTTTCTTTCTGGTTCGGATGCTTTGTTATTGTGATGTTTATTCTAGTGAAGGACCATTTGTAGCTTTAGACTCTAGTTTTCCATATGTTTCATTCAGTTTTCCTCATTAGTGCAGAGGGCTGCAGCTGGACCTGCTGCTCTGTTCCAGTTAACTGAGTTTGCCTGTGGTCTGAGAGAAAGTTCAGTCCTTTCAAGATGGTTAGATGGAGACATTAAAGTAGAAACAGCTGCCACACTGAAAGTTAAACAATGCTGAGTGCAGAATCTTCAAAAATGTTTCTAGTAGTTGTTACATCAGTTAAACTGTAAATCTCATCTTTATGAACTCATAATCATTATACAATAAAAGGTGATAGTATTACATTAATAAAGTTGAACAATGTGACTATACTTAACACATTATATCAGCAGATCTGATCTTGTTCTCCTGTTCAGGTTTCACTTTCTAACAACAAGGTGTATCTATTGTTTACAAGAGTATTAAATCCAATAACATATCAAATCCAATTAACAGACTTTTCATCTTCACTGTTTAGGTGATTACTGCCATCGGCGTTTCCGTTGGGCCGCTGACTCTCCATCAAGCCTACTGCAGAAGTTCAGAAATTATGAAATCTAAATATATCACCTGCTCTATTTTGTTTAAATGTTTGTGTTTTTGTCTCCTTGTTGTGACTTACTAACACGAGACCCTGGTAACTGTGATGTCAGTGTGTGTGAATATGATCTGGCTGTAAATGTGTCTGTTACACATGTGAAATATTTTGTCTCATGAAAATCTGATAGTTTAGTATTAAATCATGTGAATGATATATGTTGTTATTTGTCTTGCACAGTCCTTAACCATGTTCACTAACACACTGGAGATTGGAGAATCATGCCTGCTACTGGAGTACCTGAATGCTGTAATGTGTATTTTTGTGCAGTTTAGTTCACAATGTTGGGAAAATAAAACCGAAACATGTCATGTCCATTATTTCCTTATATGCATCATTTGAAGTCTTCAGCTGTAATGAAGAACATAAAAATCATTACTTCAGTCGGAAACAGAACATCCAGTTAGCTACTTTCGTGCATGTGCATGGCATCATTATGGCTACAGTGATTTACAGTTTAAATATAGAACCACTGACTTCCATCTTTGCATAGCTGGCATGAAGTGTTGTCAGGAGTAATTCAAATCATCCAGCAAAATCAGATTTACTTGGAGGTTTGTCGAAACAAATGTTGCAACCGACTGGCAGATGACATATCCTTATATCAAGTCAAACCTTTGTTATAATTGTAAAGTTTAGTTAGTGAACAGATCATATGAAACAGAGACTGGATTCCAAATGTTACATGTAATGAGGTTTAACGGTCCAGAAATTAGTAACAAAGCTGGAATTGTTGCTGTTATTTACTATTTCTCATATAACACCATAGGGATCGTTTTGAGCATATACTGTTTTCATGTCAGCTGTACTGCAAGTGGTCTTAGATGTATGAAGGCTGGCTTCACACTATATGTCTTATCTTTAGTCATCCATGTTGTAAATCATGCAATAAGGACTGAATGAGATGTGATAAGTTAAATAAAGACAGAGACAGAATAATGATGAAGTTGTATTGATTTAAAAAAGTAGATTAGATCTGAATATTGATCAATCTGAAGGTAGGAATGAACTGAAATTAACATGTCCTCTGTAAATTTAAATAAATGTGTGCAATATGATAAAAAGGACAATATTTGTAGCAGTCTACTTCTGGTTTTAAAATGTCATCACCATCTATATGATTCTGCACTGTCCTTCAGTGGTAGATGTTAAATGCCATATCCAAAGAAGAGAGGTCTGCTTACCTAACAAATGTATCCAACAATAAACATACTTCTTCACAGATACTGCTGGAGTCTGTGGTTGATTAATAGCAGAAATAGAGCATGAAGTGAACAAAAAGCCTTTGTTTTTCACAGAGATGTACCAGCATCTGTTTTCTGTTATCATTTTATACATTGTTACAATTTTCCTGCACATTTTGAATTTTACATATGGAAAATGTCACATATGCACCTGCAACATTGGTGGAAGAAATATTTGGCTGCTTTTATGAAGGAAAATGTTCATACCACAGTGTAAAAATACTAATAAAATTAAATAAATACAAATAAAATCCCCAAATTCAAAATACTGGCAAATAATGATAAATAAAACTAAAAAGAAATAAAACTACTCAGTATAGAGAGCAAATTATAACCACTTATTTTACTGTTTGATATTCTTTATTCAGTAATAATGCATCATATATTGTATAGGGATCATTTTGTATTTAAAATCTTAAAGTAACAACACACCCATCTTCTCCTTATACAAAATTAATACATATATATATATATATATGGAATAAAAGTGGAATAAAAAAAACATCATTTCTCTCTGAATTATAGTGGATGTGTAGTTTAAAATAGAATAGGCCTTAAGAAAAGTACAAATATTACTAAATAGTCGACTATTTAGTACTTTACTCTCTACCAGAGTTGACTTTGACAGTTTCATGTTTGTAAGGAAGGTTTGCACATTAATGACTTGAGGCAATGAAGCAGCAGCAGGTAGATTCTGCCAATAACAGTATAGTCACATACATAATCAAATGTTTTACAGGTGTGCCGGGGGGTGGGGCTACATTTGGTTCTAAATGGCGGATAAAACCATCAGCACTTACATATTCACATCATAAGGCTACTGCGCTAGCTTCATAATGTGCCATCACGGACTGAAAGCTGGCCAAATGCTACATAACCTTCACCACCAGATGGCGCCAGACTTTTTGATGACGTCACTTTTGTAAAAGCTAAAAGCACCATAAGCGTAACTGCTTCTCGCCGGGTGCGGTGGCGCGCGCCTGTAATCCAAGTCACTGGGAGGCTGAGGCTGGCGGATCGTTTGAGCTCAGGAGCTCTGAGCTGCTGCGGACTATGCCGATCGGGTGTCCGCACTAAGTTCGGTATCGATATGGTGCTCCTGGGGGAGCCCGGGACCACCAGGTCGCCTAAGGAGGGGTGCACCGGCCCAGGTCGGTAACGGAGCAGGTCAAAGCCCCCGTGCCGCTCAGTAGTGGGATCGCGCCCGTGAATAGACGCTGTAGTGCAGCCTGAGTAATACAGCGGGACCCAGTCTTTTTACACTCCTTTATACTGATCAACAAACAACCGGGACACACACACGGTCAAACATCACCTCTTTATATGTTACTGCAGCTTCTTTATCTTCTTATTTCCTCAGAAAGCAGAGCTGTTTGTTGGTCCTGCAGCGCCTCCACCTGGAGTAGAGGAGCAATCACCATCAATCACATTAAAAATAATTGGGGGGGGGTTTGGATCTAAAGGGCTCTTGAGCTATTATTTCACAGTGTGGACAAAACTCTTTTGCCCCCCCCGAGAAGTTGTTGGTGTCACACTATTGCATGAGTAAGAGTATGGTACAGGTTAAACCAACGAATAATATAAAGAAGCTGCAACACAGCTGCTGATTACAGAAAGTGTTGAGGAAGCCAAATACTGTAAAGAGACAGATAAAGAAGAGTCAGTTCCTCGCTTATCGTTTGATAATGTTTAAAGCTGGAATAAAATCAGCCAAAGGAGAAAATCCTGCTGATATTTATTTTAGTCTCGTGTTTACACCCAATATTCACCATAGAGGGTGTAGGGACTGTATATTACCACAAGATGGAGCTACATCTCCTAAAATCCAAATTCTCAAAAGATTTTCGACAAACATCCATGTTTTACGTCATATGAGGTTCAATTTTAATTAGTGAATCAAATTAGTATTTACATACTAAACGCTAAATGACAGAACCGGAGGAGATTTCAGGGCGTGCCTAAAATGTTTTCCTCTTTCGAGAGTGGTATATCTCAGCAGTCAGCACATACAGGGAGTCCCAGGAGGCGATGCTGATTCATCTGAACAGGCAGAGCAGAGCAATCATGGCTGACTCGCTGTTGCCAAAGGGCAGGAAGAAACAGCTGATGCAACATTTCAGGAGCCTGCTGTAGATAACAGGGATAAAAGAGAGGTGTTGGAAAAGAGCGATGTATGAAGAAATGAAGGAGATCCTGCATAATTTAACTGACAATAACTTGGCATTAGCCTGTATTTTTTAAAAGTCTACAGACAGTACCTACAATAAACATCTGTCCAAATCATTTAGCTATTGTGCTGAAAAACGAAATTAACAGCACCTTTTATCAAGAGAATCTAGGAATACTGGTAATACTTGGACATCTGGATTGATAACACAACCTTTAGCGTACATACTAAAGTATTCATTGAAAAACTAAAGATGAAGTTTAAGCTGTTTAACAGAGATGAGGTTTGATTCCCCAGATGCTGCAAACAACTGGCCTCCACTCAGAATTATCTGTATGTCATTTACCACTCTGTACTCTCAAAACTAAGATTCAAAACTAACTCCTGTGGAGTTTTTAATGATTTTTATTGAGTATGTAAGAAGTAGTAAGTTTTTTAATATGTAAGACTTATAGAACTGATGACTGATGTGTTCCAACCATGCACATATTGCATCACACTGTTGTAGAGTGAAAATGACAACATGTGAGTTTATGTCAGGAGTGTTCAGAGCATTTTTTTGAAAAAAAAGAAGCCAAATCAAAGGGACTTTGTTTCCAGTCAGGTGGGTGTCTGTGTGTGGCAAAGTATCTGACAGTACGTAGGCTTGGAAAAGAAATAAAAATGTGTGCATATATTCAAAATCCACTATGCATATGTCACTATAGTAATATCTGTGATAATAGCTGTACAATATATTACTGTATGTAGGCTTTAAGGTTACATCAGCACCATGGACAGAGCATACCAGGTACTGAATCCTACTGTAATTAGCATTATTGCAAGTACTTACAGAATATTGTGTAGGCTATCAATGTTGGCTATTTTTGCAAGTACTAATATACTGTAGTGCTGCTTGCATCGCAGGTATAGGTGGTAAACTTAATTTGAGGTTCCTTGTGAAGAATCCCCTTGGATAGGTCCAACACTGGAGACACCTGGTGGAAAGGTGTCTGTAAACTTGTGCTGGACATAAAGAAACATTTTTTAAAACACAGATAAAATAAAAAACATTAACATCAATAACTTATTTTACCTGTGGATAGAGCCAGGCTAGCTGTTTCCCTGTGTCCGATCTTTATGCTAAACTATAGCTAACTGGCTGGTGGCTCCAGCTACCTATTTAGTGTGAAACTCTCTGCAAGAAAGCTAAAGCTAGGCTGGTTGCCTCCTGGCCCCTATACCATTTATTTTGCAACTAACTGTCAGAAAAAAGAAATAGCATGCTTCCTGAAATGCCAGTCTATTCCTAAACACGACCTTCTGGGTTTTTCAAAGATCACCAGGTATACATTTTTCATCAAAACAATGCTTCGCTCTACTAGCTAGGTCATAGCAAGGGTCTTTCAATTGTCTGGATTAAAAAACAACTTCTTCTTCTTTATTATATCAACTTAAAATGCTTTGTACAGTAGACAAAATGAACACAGCTGTGAGAAGTGCCTGACTTCCAGGTATGTATGATGCTGCCTCTGTTCATCACCATGAAGCATGTGTTGACATGCAGCAGGTTTACTGTTCTAACAGTCAACTATTGATCCACTAAAATGTTTTAATTTTTCAGTTACTTTTGTTCCTTCCTAAGACTTTTTTCCTCCAAAGTCAAGGCCACTGTTATATGCATTTCTTCTGCACTGTGTCAACATACTTTCCCCACAGTCTCTCCCTAAGCTTGAACTCCCCCGTACAGCACTGTGGCAGGAGCGTCAGGGGGCGTGGCTCCGCTGTATGCTCTCTGCTTCTCATTGGTCAGTTCAGATGAAGTGGGCGGTGACGGAGGGGAATTCCCGGCCGGTTCTGTTCAACAAATATTACTTTTCCTGTGTATTGTCACCCATTCAGCTCGGGCTTCTCTGAGAGACAGTAACCTGTGATACAACCGAGAGTGAGTGTATGTTTGTGTGTGCGGGTGTGTGCACCATGAATGGTGAGTAGCAACACATTATAATATACATTATACTATAACAACAACAGTGCCGTTTAGACTGAGATGTTAAGGCAGAATTAAATACATACTGCTAATGTCAGTGATGTTCAACGTACTGACTCAAGTGTAAGTTATTGTTTATTTTGATAACTGAAACCTTTATGTAGAATAGCAACACTAGTGTTTAATTCGTAAGTTAAATAATAGTTGCGCTGTTTATTCTAAGTCTGTTCATCAACACAGTGAAACTTCCTCCTTTTTGCAATGATTGACAGCGTCATTGGAATCATTGTCAGTAATTACAGGATTGCTTTAGCAGAAGTGAATGCTCTTACAAACATTACAAAACAGTTAGAGTGAAATGTTAATACTTTTTCACAGTATTACTTCCACTCAGTACAGTTTTGCATGTGTATATATTTGCCTAATTTGTTCCTATATGATACATTTTCTTCCTCAGTTCTTATGTCCTCCATGCTGGGAGACGATTCTCACCTAAGTAAGGACATTTTACTACCTCTTGTGTCAAAATTAGTTGCCCGTCCCCACAACTTAAAACTTATACAATAAGTTAAAATCACAACAAATAACTTCCTCAATTTTTTTTTTTTCATTTTGTTTAGCTTTTTTCAGACCTGTGGTGTGAGTGTGTGTGAGAGAGCCTAAGGTTCTTGCAGTCATCATCCTTTATAGTTTGTGGTGTATAAGTCTATATATTGTGTTATAAACGTCTGTGTGTGTGTGTGTGTGTGTGTGTGTGTGTGTGTGTGTGTGTGTGTGTGTGTGTGTGTGTGTGAATCATCTTTCAGTTTTGTGTTTGTTAATGTATCTACAAAATGAGGAAGGCAGGACATGGCTGTGCCATTTTTTTTTGGCAAACACACATTTCTTAATTATGTCAGAAATGTGACATGACTTGTTTTATCCTGGTCTACACAACATCTGTATGTGAACACAGACTTTGGTATTTTAATGCTTAATTGTCACCTGGCTGTCATCTCCACTAAACCATATTTCTGTGCTGTTAAATCATTGGAAATGCTGTACACCAAAAACAAATGCACTTCCCGTATCAGTTTTGGTTCCTCTCTCACAAAGGCATCATGTGGTGCAAGTTCTTTTCACACAAAAGGGTCAAAGAATGTCAAAGAGTTTTGGATGCAGAATGTCGGAGGCTAGAAAACACGAGTGGGATGATTTGCAGGTTAAAAGATAGTATACCTCTAGTCGGGCTGGATTTGAATGAAAACTGACATCTAGGTCACATATAATGTTGTTTCCACAGTATGTCAGCAGTTTCGGTGGGCAACACAACTGCATTCTCACTTTTGAATGTAGACCTTGAGATCTCACATGTAAAGACGACTTCTGTCACTTTTCAACCAGATTTTTCAACCAGACTAATTGCAAAACACTCAATCAGTGCTTATTGGACTATTGATCCAGACATTTTAAATCTAGCTGTTAAGATGAGATGCACAGGTACAGTAAATTACACAGGGATTTAGGCACCAATGCCCATTTAAACTGAAGACAAAAAGGGGAAACAAAAAAGTTGTGAAAAAAGAACGTTAATCAGCAACCTTTTCCTGAAAGTATCAACACTAAAAACATTTTGCACTATTTTCTGACATTAAAACAATTTCTACACGTTCCACAGCAGCAGCACATTTAGACCTCATAGCAGCAATCACACAGGTCTTGCTATTTAACATTAATGATGATTCCCACTGGAACTCAGCCATAACTCATTTTATTATCCGTACCTGTGCTTTCTAAAGTCAAATTTCTTATTTTCTTTTTTTCGCCCAGTTTTAACGTGCATATCTAGATGCCTTTTGACCTGCAAATTATTAAATGCCAGAAACACGGCTAATGCCTATTGTACCATAGTTTATCTCCTGACTCTTTGACCCTGTGACTTTTGTAATTCCAGCAAGGAACAAAAATGAAGCAAAAATGAACAAAATCAGTTTGGTAGCCATGTTTGGTAACCACTTTGTCCTTCGAATCTTATTTGATAAAAGTATTTTTGTCACTGAACAAAACCACTCGTGCAAACAGGAAAAACAAAAAGCAGAGAGTTATGTCTTGTTTGTCAACTTGGCTTTGCTTTATTGCCGACCTCTGTTTTCTCATCCACTCATCACTTCCTCTCCACATCCCCTTCACTGACTGTTCTCATCATCTGTGCTACCTAGTGGCTGAGCCAGCGATCCAGATCTTTGAGCAGCCGAAGCAGAGGGGAATGCGCTTCAGGTACAAGTGTGAGGGTCGCTCAGCTGGCAGCATCCCTGGAGAGAAGAGCTCCGACAACAACAGGACCTACCCCAGCCTGCAGGTCAGTCCGCTCCACGCAAAGATTTACATGTTTAATTGTACATAGGAGCACTTTTCACCTCTGCATGTGTCTTTCCATACAAGTTTGCATGCATGGTGTCAGTATATGAAACAACCTCCTCCTCTTCCTCCACAGATCCTGAATTACTCTGGTAAGGGTAAGGTGTGCGTGTATTTGGTGACGAAGAACGAGCCGTACCGACCGCATCCACACGACCTGGTGGGGAAGGACTGCAAAGACGGATTCTACGAGGCAGAGTTCGGTCCAGAACGCAGAGTGATTGCGTGAGTTCACCTCCCACAGTCGCCTCTGTCCAACAGCACTCTGTCGCTGTATTCTCACTGTCACTGTCGTCACCAGAGTAATTATCTCCTCAGTCTCAGTCTTAATCAGCACACACACACACACCACAATATATTCAGTTCGCTCTCTATTAGTGTATTTTGTGTTTCGCTAGACTGTTTCGGAAGACACCAAGAGAAAATAGGTGACCACTGATACAGAGGAAGAAACTCATACACACACACACACACACACACACAGAGAAAGCATATTTGTTAAACCATGTCTGAGATGAGGATGGCAATATGGGAATTCCCCAAGTGACATCACCCATATTTGCTGTGTGTTAGAGAGGGAAAACAGTGTGTATGTGTGTGTGTTTGTTTGTGTGTGCGCCTGTTGTGTGTGCTTTGCTGCTCGTGTGCTGTATGTGTGTGTGTGTGTGTGTGTGTGTGTGTGTGTGTGTGTGTGTGTGTGTGTGTCTGTGTGTATGACAGTGTGAATGAGTCAGTATCTCTTGGGGTGTATAATTTGCAAATCCCTCATGGTTTTCTGTAGTAAATTCAGATTAATTTAGATCTTTGTGTGTGAAGTGAACTCCTCCTGCAGATCTGGATCAAGTCTGATCAGAAAGTCAAACCAAATGGGTGGTATTAATTGTATCATTGCTTTGACCTTAACAACAACAGCATTTATGTCATACGTCATTCAGGCGTGGCCCCGTGTGTTTTGTTTGTTGTCATCAGGTTGTTGTTGCAGTTGTGTCACTCTTTCATGCTAATGTTGTATGTTGTAATTATTGACACAGCTTCCAGAATCTGGGCATCCAGTGTGTGAGGAGGAGGGAAGTGAAAGACGCCATTGTACAGAGGATTACCAGAGCGATCAACCCCTTCAACGGTGAGTCTCAAATCCATCTTCAACTGTTTTATATCCTTCATAGTGAGAACGATTCACACTCACTGTAGTTTAACACTGGCATGTCAACATATCAGCTTCAGAGTCTGACTGATGCTGGATTGCAAATGGATATGTTCAGTTCACCAAAAACATGAGCATGTTCAATGAACGCGTTGATCCACAGCACTGGCCACAGAACTGCATTGTTGTCCAAACATTACTGAGAATAGTGAGCTGGTTTTACTCCGGTATCAGTAACGTTTGTTAAAAACTACACTGGTCCGCTGTTTTTGGAAATGAGTGAACCCTTAAAAAACATTAAAATATGTTGTGATTCGCTTCTTTATGACAAACACAACAAAATGTTTTAAACATTAATCAAGAAAATGTTGTACTGAAATTTGTGTTTGCATATCTGCCATAATACTGTGTATGCTGATACCAATATATATCTGATGAGCTAATATCAGCTCATCAGCTCACTCATGTATCATTCAGACTCTAGACAGAATAATGAGTGTCATTGTATACGTGAAGTGCAGACTGTATTCTGCTGTTGTAATCGTTGCTGCCGGTCACTGTTATTGCTGTTGCTGCTGTTACTTTTCCTGCTGTTGTTGCTGGTAAACGGGTTCAAAACAATTCAAAAGAATTGTTTTCAAATGCTGGTTGACCCAGTTCTCAGGCAGATGAGAAGATTTTCCTAACATCAAGTCAAAAATCTGTCCGTGTTACCGCTGCACTATCTACAGTAATGCCATTTCCTCTGTGTGCTTTCACTCTGCGGTCCTCCGGCGCACACAGACAGCAGTTCTCGTGTACAAACAGGCGTTGAGCTACTTCCCCATTCTTGTTCACAGTTGCTCAATTCAGCACAGTGCAGGATGCCACGTGAGAGCTGGGAATGCAGGATTCATTAAAAGGGGGGGGGGGTGGGCCGAGGGGGTTCCCCAGCTCTCAGAGATGATGATAAAAGTAGGGTATGGTGCTTTACAGGTCTGTAAAAGCGTAGAGGGAATGGAAGGTTTATGAGCAGTTCAGGTTCACTTTTTGTCTCTCAAACATACAATCATGTTCTCATACAATCATGATCTCAGATATTTGTTATTTGCTCAGTTGTCCTGAAACTTTCTGCGTTTGCAAAAGTGTTCTTACCTAATACTCGACTGTCACTTGGGCAAATCCTGAAGGGGCCTGGGCACCATGTACAGAGTCTCATAGAATGACATAGTAATGACCTAAAAATAAGCATCAAAACGCTCAGATGCAGATGGCCTCTTTGTGATATGAACCCCTAACCCCTGCTGACACTTCAAGTCTTTTGCTCTGTCTACTGAACTTCACCACAAATAACCACATATCTGCTCTCTCACCTGTATGATAGTATTATAGTCAACGAAATAATTTAGGCACATAAGTTCTTAGAAGTTGAAGCTATATCTGACAACTGTCGTTTTATTGTGTGATTCCTGTGGTCCAGGACCATGACATGAATATTTGTAAGCTCAGACATATCTTCCTAAGCTAGCTGCTTGATTTTGTAGATAAAATATTTGCATTTCTTTGCTTGAATGAGCACAAAATTCAAATGAACATTTATCTTTAATACAACCAGATACATTTAGATTTAGATTTAGCCAAATTACAGCTTACCCATCTTATTACTTAATAGAGCGGTTTTAAATTTACAGACTTTGGCTGATTATTGTCTTTGATAGATGGATCAACCATGTGAAAAACATAACAGAAGTCCTAAATGTAATATTATTTTTCTTTAAAAAGAAGTGTTTTCTGCATATAGGGAGCACAGGGAGGTTGAAGGTGACTAGATAACTTGAGCTTTGATGTCTAACATGGATGAGATCATATCAGAAATATTGTCTGTATTTTGTCCATAAAGAGCCATTCTGATAATGAAGTGTCATCATCATCTGGAAATTAACCATCTAGTGACTGTATATTTGCTGAGAGGGTGGATTTAAAGACAGGTACCAGATCATTGGAGTGTATTTTCAATATTTTTTTCATAGTTTTAAGAACCAAAAACCATCTCAATGTAGTTTTACATCTGAGTTTTACAACAACAGGTTGGTGAGCCAATCAGAAGAGAGGAGGCTCTGAGCCTCTCTTCTGATTGGCTGATTGTTTTCTGAGTGATCCAATAACAATATAGCAGATTTCAGGTAAACATTTAGAGAGACCAAATCCTACAAGGTTGGATTGTGGGTGGGGCTTGGGGCATGGCTGAGAGTGGTGACTGCTTTGTTGTGACATCACAAAGTTCCAGAAGTCCTGACGGCTGGTTTTAAGGCTCAGTTTCTGAATACAGGCTGTGAGCATTTCTCTGTGGACTGAGGCTTTGATACTTTCACAGTATTAATATAGAACCTAGACCTGCTGTATAATCAAACAACACATGGACAAATACCTTTCTACTATATGGAGCTTTAAGCGATTTTACAACCAAATAACCAGATTCATAGTGGTGGCATTGTGACGATGGGTGTAAAATAGTCTTGTGACACTCATGTGATCATATTTAGTGAACACTGTGTTATTAGTCAGGTAGACACATTACGATAGACACGGATCAAGTATATTTACTCCCACAGACTCTTTAATGGGCAGCTGGATGTCTTTTTCACGTGGTTCAAACCTTCCCCTCTCTTCAGCTCACTTCTGCTGTGAAACTCAGCTGCTTCCTGTGTTGGGGGGAGATAAGCTAGCCCCCTTGCTCACTCCCCTACACTCACCCCAATGCACTTGCACAACGACCTTTACACACTTACACACATACAAACCCGTCTGACCTCAGCTCATGCATGTGAAGCTTTGTTCAAGCCACATCGGTGCAGTTGTCTGTAGAATATCTGAGACCTGATGAGACCACCGAGCGAATGAGGTCACATCACCTGAACCAGTGAAGACACAGAACTGAATACTGTGTGTGACGTAACAATGTCTTTCTCTATTACTATTCACTCACATGTCACAGTGCTGGGGTGGTGCACCTGCTTAATGTGTGAAGTTTTCTCGTGGGACAGTGTTTTCTTTTCCACGAAATCTAGTCAAAGACACAGCCCATGATCATTTAAGGTAACAGGTGTATCTGTGCAGTGCAATAAGTTCATTACTGAGTAACAGACAGAGGAAAAACTTAGGCCTCAAATAAGTTTCTATAAGATTTTGTGGATGTTCAGAAATGATTTTAAAGATTGCGGCTGTATATGATATTTAAGCTTTAAATCTCTATTCCGGCCTTCACAAGAAGACTCATTGTTGATATAATTTTATTTTTTTCATTTCTTCAACAACAGGTGTTGAATTTCACAGTTTTCTCAGGCTCTCAAAGGGAAACTGTTTCCAAACTTCATTTCACAAGCTGAAAATCTTACTAATCTTTATTCAAGCCCATCGTTTTGCCTTTGTCTGCTGCTCAGTGATATAGAAGCAATAGTGATTAACCCCTCACAGCCATACTTTATATCATTATGGAGTGTGTTGTAGAGCAGGTTTCTCTTTTTTTTGCCACCACTTTTCTCTCAGGAAATAATGTCATCTCAAAGGCTTCCTGATATCTTATTTGAGCCCATACCAAACATTTTACTTCTATTTTGAAGTTGCGCTTCCCCTTAAAGTCAGTGCTGGATGCTGGTTGGTCAGTGCTTTGAAGAATATTATCATGAAGCATTATTGCAATTTTTTTTTTTACACCACTTATCCTTCCCCTGTTTGTCTTTACTGAGCTGGAGGTGTTTCTTCCATCTGCCTTTTACTCTCTCTGTTATTTGCCATTGCCAGAATACTTATGCTGTTTGTATCCAAACATCATGTACCATTTTAAAGCAAATATACATTTCTATATGATCTAACTATACTATAGTGTATCATTCTGTAGTCACAAACTGAACGTTGTGTGTGATGAGTCCCGGTGTAATTGTGAGTCATGCAGTGGAGACACAGTTTGAGGTGAAGCTTGGCACCTGCCTCCCCTTCTTTCTCACTCTCACAGCATGCTCCCACATTCATACTAACCACTTACCACTCACCCCACCCCCCCCACCCCCCCGCCTCCCCCACCCCCCCCACCGTCACTAGCCCCATCACTGCCACCACAGCCAATGACCTGTGTCCCCTTGCCGCTGCTGCTTCATGCAGCCAGGATGCCCAGTGACTCTGGGCCCTGTTTGTTTCCATCACACAAATTCAGTCACCGCTAATTTCACCTACAACCCACTTTGCTGCACCTGTCCGCCACCTGCCTCGCTCAATAGCACACTCCACAAACACTCACACATACAGTAGGTACACCACGCACAGAGACCAACTTAGTATGTTCCATCACTATTTGCTCTGACAGTTCCGCTTTCATACACAGACAAGTCTGCATCTCTCCCTCCTTCAGTTTCTCCACTGTGTCTCTGTCTCTGCCTCCTACAGAAGATAAACCTGATGACCAAACACAAAGCTGAAACAGAGCAGAGCTGCACGCAGCTGCCACACTTTGTGCAGAGACCATTCAACCTCCAGAAGTTTATATTTAAGTTTATATTTTCACAATGTCGTTTCTGTTGTTGTTGTTGTTGATAGACTCCTTTCCTACATCAAAATTACATTTTCTAAGAAAGGGAGCACCTGTTATGTCCTGCCATAGTGATTTGTCATAATAAATGATGTGGCAGCACTCCAGACAAAAGTGCCATATTATTTATGTTGAATTATGGACATTGACTCATAAAAACTGAATGATGGCGAGGTGACTGACTGATCTTTATTTCAATCTCTAAGAAAATAAATAATAATAAAAACAAAAAACAGAAAATGTCAACTTTCAAAATGTGAAAAAGAGTATACTGAAATAAATAACACCTTCTAAGCACCTTGAAAGGCATCTTACAATAATGACCAAATGAAGCTAGTTACATGCCACTGGATGATATTTTCCGATTTCCTAATTTTTGTAATGAATGCAGTGCTTCTCAACCTTTTTGTGCTGCGACCCCCTCACAAACTACAGATGGGTGTTCACATTTTTCAGTTACACTTGATAGTGTAACATTACTTTCAGTTGGCCCACCTTCACATATCTCTTCTGGGTCTCATCTGGAGCTGGCAGACTGGAAGTATGGGAGATTAAATGGGCAAACATTCTCAAAAATATTTATGCATTTCTTTATTATTTATATATTTATTTGGAAAAACGTCCTGCGTCCCCCCAGGAGGGTCTCAACCCCCGCGTTGAGAACCACTGAAATAATGCATCAAATATAATGGTTTTAAATGTCAATCGTCCCCTTTCTGTAGCTTTCGTGTTTAACAGGCAGATGTGAGGGTGGCATCGATCCTCTCGTCTGACTCTCAGAGAGAAAACAAATAAACCCAAAATGTTGAACAAACAAACAGAAAAACTGCAGCTGGTATAAAGCGGGTCAGACAGTCCTAGTGCTATAACACTGTAATAACAGTCAGAGCCAGACGGACATGTTTTGGTTGAGTTTGATATTTAATATCAAGGCTTGTGAACAAATCTTCATGTCAACACCAGACGACTTTTGTTTTGTGTTTTGTCTCATTTCTCACTGAACATGCTCAGGGAGACGTGGAGAGAAGCTTATTAATGCCACAACTGTGGACTCAAGTCACACATTCGATGACTTCTGACTAAGCAAAATGCAAACAGACTTGTTACTGCACTTGTGACCTGTGACTTCAGTTGGAACTGAGCCTTGATAGAATAATGGCTCGTGCCAGCAGTGCATGTAGAGACAGAGCAGGAAAAATACCTCGTTAGCTGTCTGTGCTCAACAGGTCACATTCAAGGAGTATGAGGAGTTTCCCTACATAACTGAACAGCAGACTTTTTCTTTTTTTTTTGTGTGTATATTGTAGTGTTTCTGTCCAAACCAAACTCTGTTTGAACACACTGTTGAAAATGACATTAAATTTGGTGAGAAACTCAAAAGACAAAATTTAAGACTTGACACTCGCTCATGTCCCACCACTTTCACACACGTCAGGAGCCACCATGGTCACTCATACAGGAGTCTCATCTCTTGCCTGTGTGTTGTGCAGACACTCACACTCTTTCCACCCTGAGGTGACGTCGCTGAGCGTCAAGTAGCGAGTCGTGGGCGGGGATGGCCTCGACAGATAGAAATTGAGAGACGGAGGAAGAGAAAGTAGGCAGATGTGAAAGCCTGGTGCGTGTGTGTGTGTGTGTGTGTGTGTGTGTGTGTGTGTGTGTGTGTGTGCGCGTGTGGGTGTCTCTCAGTAAAAGCTCTCCCCGCGAGGTGTGTGTTTGTGTGTTGCCTCTGAGGGCGGGATGTGTGACGCTTGCATGTATGTGTGCAGATGAGACTGTAGGCTGGGGACACTTGAAAAAGATTATCTGTGACGTGTTCATTTTGATCCAGAGTTGAGGTTTTGGGGACAACCTACAGATGTGACAGAGGCTTGAGAACATTCTAGAGAATGTATCTACACTATCTATCTATCTGTGCTTTAATAATCTCACATTTATACTTTTTCAATGCACTATATATTTGACACATTGGTTTAGTATATCCATATACATAAACCAGGTTTAACGACCAGTTTGCAACAGATTTGACTCCCAGCTCACCCAAATTAAAAAATAGACGTCTTTCCCACTTACCTATAGTCATGTCTGGGCATGCAAATGTTTTGTTGCACTGACATTTGGAAATATCCAAATTTGAATTTTTTCTGTCACATTTGTGACATTTGTTTGTGGTGGCCAAAGCAATGAAAACCTACACTGGAAAAATTCAACAGGAAAGTGCATTTTCATAAACAATGTGGTGGTTACTCCATAATTCACAGACTGTGCAATTAACAGTTTTCATAGGGACTTTTATTGTCAGTAGAAGTTAGTTCCGACGACCTGTTCCCAAAGTTGTTGAATTTTTTATTTCCCAATGTTTTGATTACCACAAACAAAAGTCCATTACCTTTTTCATTATTTAAGGGTTGTGGCTGCAGAAATCTTACTGTCTACCTACCACTACCCCTTGGATACAGTACATTGACTCAATAACTGCACTTAAGCACTAAGTTGAAACACTTTATTGTAAACATCTACTTCACTGTAGTCCAGAGGGAAATATTTTTCATTTATTTAACAGCTGTAGTTACTAGTTATTTTACAAATTAAGATTTTAATTACAAAACATATGTTGAGATATGAATTGTATATTAAATTGTTAAAATTAGCTCCATCTCGACCAACAACTGTGAAATACTACTTATAGAAGTATATGAATGCATCAATAATAACAATAATCAGAATCCAATAATATGATATATAATGGTATAAGAGGGCAGTGTATTTGCAGTCTAAGCACTTTTAATTTTGATACATGAAGAACATCTTGCTGATAATACTTACATACTTTTACTTAAGTAAGATTTTCAGTGTAGGACTTTTACTTGTAATCAAGTATTTTCATAGTGCAGTATTAGTACTTTTTTAAAAAAAACTTTGCAACTTGTCATTATTTGGGTGAACTGGGCCTTTAAATATAAAGTAAAATCTGATGTAAGTGATCCTTCCATTACATGGCTGCTTATATGTCAGGTATAATGCCTTTGATAAGCATCAGTTTGTTTTATATCATCCACTGTGCCTGTGATGTTGACACTCATGTGTGTATATGTGTGTGTGTGTGTGTGACCTCAGTGCCACGCGAACAGCTGCTGCAGACAGAGGAGTACGACTTGAACGTGGTTCGCCTCTGCATTCAAGTTCTGCTGCCGGATGAGAACGGCCACTACACCCGCTCACTCAACCCCATTGTCACCAACCCCATCTACGACAACAGTGAGTGTCTGAGCTCTGACTGTATCTACCGTGTTCATGCTGGCGTCATGTTAGGCAATTACAACATTATGAAACTGCCATATAATTGCACACACGGGAAATCCGGCTGCCTGAGGGTAGGTGTGTTCACCTAAGGGTTCAGGTAATGGTGGATTCCAATAGCTGATGATGATATAACTTTAAGTAAAGATGCAGATATTTTGTGCTAATGTTAATGTCATTTCTAACACTTACCTTGAATCTAATTAATGTCCTTCAAATTGAAACAAAGTAATAATAAAAATATTATGCAGTAATTGAGGAGTTATGTAAGTAGGTGTGTTTGGACATACAGAGTATGTACCTGCAGCTGCAGTGTTTGTTGCAAGACCTGTGTACGTGTGTCTGATAGATATTTTCTCAACACTGTTTCAAGTGTTGCACTTGGTGAACTAGTTCAGTGTTCCTCACATGCATTGAGAAAGGGGAAGTTCTTCATATACACTAACCCTCAAACAACACTTGTTACCATGGAGCACTTCCTCTTCTGACAACAGGCATGTGACATGTGACTCAACGTGGTGAGGCTTCAACTGTAAACTCAATGTGTTTTTTTTTCTTTAGAGGCAGATATTGAAGCAGCCACAATGAGTCACTTAAACTGGTCACAACAGTACAACAATAGATCAGAGCAAAATAAATGCTGTCTTGTGTGTAGTATGCACTCTTATTGTTAGATTTGTTGCATATCTGTTGGGTTACATGTGTGTAACTTGTTTCCACCTCTTCAGGGGCACCAAACACAGCAGAGTTGAGGATCTGTCGGGTCAACAGGAACAGTGGCAGTGTTAAAGGCGGGGACGAGATCTTCTTACTGTGTGACAAAGTACAGAAAGGTACATACTATCAGTGCTCTGCATATGTTTGCAATGAATCAGTCAGCATTTTATTATTTTACACCTTTTTACAGTGTTTTTCACACAGTTTGCATCTGTTTTCTCTTCATTCATCTTCATTCATTCAATTTATCCATGAATCCATTTTGCTTTTCAAAGCCTTAGTGCCCATCTCTTTGCATGTTCATTCAGTTTTCCATTCCTGTCATCCTTACCTCCAGATGACATTGAAGTGCGGTTCTTCTCCTCTGACGGCTGGGAGGCCAAAGGCTCCTTCTCCCAGGCTGATGTACATCGCCAAGTGGCCATTGTCTTCAAAACTCCGTCCTACTACAACACCTCCATAACAGAGTCAGTCACAGTGCAGATGCAGCTGCGGCGGCCTTCCGATCAGGAAGTCAGCGAGCCAATGGATTTCAGATATCTGCCCGACGACAAGGGTGAGCAATGAATATCTTCTTTCTGTGACTGGTAAATTCAAACCATCACCATTCTTTTGTGACCAATGGTAGTGTCCTGGAAACGGGACCCAGTTCTCAGTTGTTTTCAGGTGATATATGTGAGCATTTTGTGTTTGCTGTAGATCCTTACGGCTACAACGAGAAAAAGCGCAGAAGAGAGCACTTGATGAAGATATCAGGATTGCAAGGTAAGAGATATTGTACAACCCATTTGATGACTCCACACGTTTGATATGAGTGTATGTATTGTAACAAAGTTTTGTGTCTTCCTTTAGGTGGTCCTTTTGCTGGTCTAGCGATGAACAGGCCAAAGGCAGTGCCACAGAGTACCATGAGTCACATGCGGAAAGGTAACTGGTTTAACTTGATTTCCCTCAAATTGCCAGATACAACATTTCCATCCAGATTAGGATAATACTGCCCTGCTATCACACTAAAAGTCACTATATGTTTTACAGACCTCAGCAACATGTACCTGAGACAACAGCCTCCACCTACGATGCAGCAGCAACCGACTATGTTCAACCAGCCCTACCAACCCGGGCCTCAGAATATGATGATGACATCACAGGCTCCTAATTTACAAATCAGCCATTCATGGGCAAATCCCAACACAGCACTCTCAATGGATACAGTCACCATCAACCCCTCTGGTGCCATGAGCAATCTGCAACGTCTTAACAACAGCAGACAACAGCAGCCAAACCGTGTATCTGGTTACCCCCAAAGAGCGGAGCACAACAGCTGTGAGAATAATGCCCTCCCCCAGCTCTCCATGAGGGACTTGCAGTGCCTGGATTCAGTCAGCCAGGCACCTGTAATGAGCCAGACAGAGTCCCAGCCACTCTTCCACCTGCAGCACCAAAGGGATGAGCTGGTCTCTGAGACCCGGGCCCAAAACCATCTAAGCAACCAAAACCAGGGTCTCCAGACTGGGTGGCCGAACTTCAGTCAAGTCCAGAATGCCTTTAATGGATCAGTACCTGGAGGAGGAGGTGGGTCACAGGTGCTGGGCTCTTTCCCCTTTCTAGAGGGAATGGATGGGGAAGATTTTCTGAAAGGCCTAGTAGGAGGAGGTTCTCAGACTGGCTTCCAGCTGAAGCAGGAGCCCCAGATCATAATGGGAAAAGAGACACACGCTTCTCTTATGCAATCCCCAAAGGAAAGCCAAGGAAATACTTATACCAACTTGCTTCCTCGTCCAATGAGCAATGGCGCAAACATGGATCCAATGAGGCAAGATGGTAGTGGCAACACCCAGGCTCTTAAAAATCCGCAGAATCCTTACTCAAACAACAGCATGGCCACAGAGGAACACTTTCCAACTTTGGTTGACTGGATCAAAGCAACTCGCCCAAGCGACTACAAAGAGTGACATTTTTGATATCAAGAAATAAACAGAAGCAGCTCCATGGAGTACACCTGCCTTGTTTAGCCTTGTGCATCCAGAAATGTTACTTCTCCCTTTCAGACCTGGTAAGGCTCAGTGGGCATTTGCTTGGGTTATTACATCTGTGGGCATAAGACCAAAGTTATTGGCAGCCAACTGGATCCATAACCAAACAAATGCAGTGTTTCTAGGTGGTACACATGATTACTATCTAGTTCCCTCTTTGGCAAAGACATCACCAGGAATACTCCTACATCTGATTGCTCAAACGTGGCACCTGGTAGGTTGTCATTCCAATTATTATTCTTTAAATAGTTTCCAAAACTGATCAACCAAATTTGGCATCTTGGCAAAGAAATAGGCCCTACAGTTCCAGAGCATTGCCTCATTTTATATCAAGGACACCTTGTTTCATGATTGGTGTAAAGAACAATTCGGTACATGTTACACCCCAACTATTAACCTCTGAAGTGTTGGCGTGTTTTAAGAGGTGCCAAGTTGCATCATCACTCCAATCACTCCCCTTAATTAGTTCTAAAGACTTGTCAATAAAAGTGAGCTCACATTAATTAAACTGGTTTCTGCAAGGCTAAAACCTGTACGTGGATGAACCCCGCCTTAGGTTGTATTGATGATGACACTGATGGGTTCCCAGCCAACGCTTCATAAGAGGTGAATGTACTGCTTTCTTTCTTTGCCTATCTCAGGTGACGTTGGATTCACTGTCAACATACTGTATAGTAATGAATGTTTTGTTGGGTGTTTGATGTTGAAAAAGAAAAAAGAAAAAAAAACAGGGGTAAATGGATTTTAGGGATTTTGAAAGTACAGCATAAAAAATTGCTTATTATGATGGATTTACTTGTTATTGCTTTTTAAGAGATTCATACATATTATACATGTCAGTTAAGGTATTTCACTGTTTTATTGATTTTTTAAAAAGACTTTTTGGTGTTAAGTGCACTCTGTACATACATGTTAGCCATAGTTGAGAGTGAAAGCATATTTATGCTGAAACACTCAAGAACTGGCAAGGTACTGAAATTTCCAATGAGGAAGTGGGAGGAAGCACATTCAAGGGTGTCTTTCCTTTGTAATGACTATGTCATACCAGTGATCACATGTGTTATCCAGAGTTCTCAGAGCATTTCTACCAGATGTTTTATAGATACAGATACAGAAATTTTGTGTGTTATTGTTTTATTTGTTCAGCTGATGCTCTGAGGGACAGTTACAGAAAACGCTTTGGTCGAGATCAGTTTGATGGGACACATGGCTGGTGATGGACAAACACTTGTCACCACTAGCGTAGCTCAGCCTAATATGTTTTCTTGACTTGTATATAAGCAGGTGCTTTTTGGTCTTAAATAAAAAGTTAATATTTTGATGACAACTTTGTAAGTCTTGCTATTTTTGCTTTTGTTGTTTTTTTCTATGGGATCATCAATAAAGAATGTCCTTTTCCAAATCTCTTGTCATATAATATCATGTTCACATTGTATTTTGAGAAAAAAAACTGTAAATGACCAGCACATGCAACAATACATGTATGTAAGTGATAATGCACAACAAGGTATCTAGGCCAAGTGCATTATTTTCCTTACTGGGACACTTCACAGTACTTTATTCCACATTAAAAAAAAAGCAAATTAATTTATCCTTTCTCCATATAAATTATTATCCATATAATAATATTGTGTCAAATTATGATATCAAGATGTCATGGTTAACAGCACAAAAAATCAGCTACATCATAAATACTTGAAAACTTAAATTTTTGGAAAATAATATAATCTGGTTAAAGTAAAACAACAAAAAGTTCGACTCACTTTGATTTTGAATAATTTATTGTATTTATTTATTATGTCATTTATTTAAATAATTATCTGGTTGTTATGGCACCCTTTAACTAGTTTGGCCTGTGGTAATGTATTACAGTAAAGAATTGGTGACATTGCCATTGATACCTGCTGTTTGGAAGAACCTGCTAGAGGTGGTTAAACCGACACCTGCCAACAAATCAGAAACAAGTATTTTCTATGTCGATGGTAAACGTAAAGGTATAATCCCCAACTTTGTTAAAGCCCCCAGTGGTGTGTATGTACAGCACTTTGGTACCTTCTGGTTGTTTTTTAAAGTGCTTTATAAATAAAGCTGGATTGGATTGGATTGGATCTCTTTAAGTTTCTCTCATTTACAAGAGGGCATCATTGGACTTCATTAAGCCGTAACTAATGTCAGTCGTATCTCATATGATGAACATGTCCATTTGAGGGGATGGACAGATAAATGGATAGATCACTATGTATAAATGAGCTGAAGCTAAATTCCCAGATTGTCAAATAAAGGAAAGAGTTTATAGAGTGTAGTGCTGTATGGCGGACAGTCCTGGCCATTAGCTGTGATAAAATATTTCCTCTGGTAGAGATAACAAGGTGTTGACAACCTGACATTGCGCAAATCCTCCTGACATGTCTCAACAACAAAGTGATGACTAGACTGAGCCACATGACTCTGCACTTTCAGTTTGAGATACACTGAGAATTTGCATTACTTTTCATCATGATTTTTGTCAAGGCCGAAACATTTGCTTCCCTTTCTGAGTCGAGTCACACAAAACAACAGCAAAAATGAAATGAAAGTGAACGGTGTGAGCAGTGAAACCTGGCTTCAGTGGCCTGATTGAAACCTGTTACTTTCATGTCCAGGCACAAATATAATGTAATATAGACTAGGTCAGTTATACTACTGTCACACGCTCATATTTGTCAGTCAGCCATGAAGCAACAGCCAGGAGACCATCAGCTTAGTTTAGCATAAAGACTGGAAGCCAGGGTGACACCTAACATGTCTGAAGCTAACAAAATCTGACTCGTCGTACACTCTCTGTATGGATAAAATAAACAAGATATAACGTGTTAATGAGTGAGCTTTGGTTCTAGATTTTGTTACCTTCAGACGGAGTTAGCTGTTTCCAAGCTAAACTAACCAAATCCTAGGTGTACAGACATGACAGTAGTATCAATGTTCTTATCTTTGCCAGAAAGCAAATATGCTCTCTGGCAAAATGTCAAACGAGTGCTTTAAAGTACAATATTTCTTCATATTAAAACTTGTTCAGTAAATCCTAAGCACTCACTATATAACTATTTCAATTCCTTTTTAACAAAAATACATATGTGTTTATGATGTTTAATGAACATATAGCGCACTGAACTTCAATAAAACTGTGTGTCTGAGAAACACACTTCCTTCAACACTTTAAATCCTCAGGTTTCTGTCACAACGGTCCCCAGGCCTTAGTGTTTTATGTCTGTCTTGTCATTTCCTGTTTTATTTTGGTAGTTTCCCTCTTGTGTCTTTACTTCCTCCCATGTGATTACCTGCCTTCTCCCTCATGTGTTTCACCTGTGTCTCGTTATTCCCAACAGTATTTATGCCCTGTGTGTCCCTTTTCACTTTGCCAGTTTGTTTTCTTCCCCAGTGAGTTACTTACCAGCGTTTTCCTGACTGCCATTTGGAGAGAGACCGTTTCTGTTATCCGTTTCCTGAGATCTGCCTGTTCCCTGTCGGTACCGTTGCCTTCTTCTGCCTGTCTGTGTTTCGACCCTGCCCGCCTGACCACGTCTCTCAGTTTTTCCCCCCATTGGATTCCTCGCCTGTTTCCTTTGGGCTTGCCAGTTTTTCTGGAACGCTGTTGTCAGGATTCATTGATTTAGATCAATAAACTGCTCTATTGTTAACTTCCTCTCTGGTCGTGCTTTTGGGTTCAACTTTTGTGTCCTGAGCCTGACAGGTTTCTATAAAGAATATGGTCAAATTTAGAAGTAATCTGTTTCACAATGAAGAAAAATTGACTATAATTACAATCAGTACTACCAGCTTTCTAGAAATGCCCCCTTTCACCTTGTGTAGCACCATAATGCAACTTACTTGATATCTATCGACTCACCTTCTAAAACCAAAAACAGGCAGAATCTGTTTGATGCCTTTTCTTATGACTTACATGAGTATCAGATAAAATCTATAGGACGGCAAAGTCCCTGTGTCATCTCCTCTTATTTGTGTAGAACACTGGTCATTAATATGAATGAACATGATTTTACATGAAATGACGTGCAATTCTGACAAATGTGAAACTGGTCATTACATCATTACCTCAAGATTTCCATGATCTGATGGTAAGAATGTGTAAACTGAATATTTATCTGATACCTTCAGTGCCAGCCACTGGAGCTCACGGATATGCAGTGTCTTGCTCAGTGGCACTTCAACAGGGCAAATGCTTTCCATCATGGGCAAAATCATGTATCTGAAGCTGCAACTAAATGCATCTATTGACATTTGTTAGTACAGAAATATATACTCAAATCTGGTTATACTGGTTTTTATTAATCTTAATTGCTTCCAATTAAACTTAAGTTTTACTGTTTTATTGATCTATTGTTAATCTTTTGTTCCAACATGACATCAGGGACTGACAGTCATGTAATAGTCTTTTACATTTGCCTGTTTCAAACTGATTTGTTGAAGGTAAGAACACTTTGTGAACTTTGCCACTTTAATGCATCAGTTGTCATAAAGCTGCTGATATCTCTCGCCTTGACTACTGACGCCTTCTGGCAGGTTTCCTTTCACCCACAGTGAAACCTTCAAGGATGGTCCAGAATGAAGCAGCTCATCTGGTCTTCAATCAGCCCAAAAGTTCGCATGTCACTTTCTACTCAACCTACACTGGCTACCTATGACCGCCTGAATCAAATTCAAGTTACTAATTTTTGCCTTCAGAGTGACTTTCGAGTCTGCACCATCTACTTGAACTCAGCCTCATGCTCCTTCTCTTCCACTGTGTTCCTCCAAAGAATGTCGCCTGGCATCACCACCCCTGCACACAAGACAGTCTCGGTCCAGACTGTTCTACTCTGTGATTCCCCAATGCTGGGACCAGCTACCAAATGCTATCAGAGCAGGGACGTTCTTCTCTGTTTTCAAGAATCACTTGAAGAATCATCTCTTCCGAGAGCGCCTCCTCTCCTAAGTCACTAGGGATAAACGTGTGCCAAATGAGTAAATGTAAATGTATGTCTGGCCATTAAGGTTCTGTGTGGCAGTACTGTAACTCTGACCAAGACCGATTTTCCCAACGAACAATAAAGTATATCTTCATTTTGATACTGATCATCAACAGATTGAAAAGCAGACTCTCTAAACTTGGTCACATATTTTATTTACTATAAGTACTTCTGATAAGAGATATTTAGATGTACTGCATTTTACAAAGCAGACTAGGCCGTTTCTCCATTTTAACCCTTGACCCATGTGTCAAAATATTAGTAAATCATTAATCACAGCATTGACATACTTGTTTAGCTTTGACTCACATAGACAGTGCTATAGATGTGAGGAAAACATCAAAACAAATTTTTGTAATGACAATGATGATGTTAATTTGATATGTTGTGTTCATTTTTACATCAGTATTGTTCACATTTTCAATCACAATTAAGTGATGAATGTTGAAGTGACAAATAAATATATTGATTCTAATCTTGTTTCTTGTAAAATGCAACATTCACAACAAGTAATTTACAAGCAGTGTGTCCTGAAGCGTCATTACCAAGGAACCCAGGATGTGCTACACTGGCGACTTTGGTTTTCTCTTGTATTGGGAGACTGAGGTGAAATGCTCTATGTAGCTTCCTTCCTGTCTCATTGTAAGGAACCACAGTGAACCCTTGATTTAACCTCAGTGCACAGGATACTGTCAACAGTCCTGTCACAGTTTTAGTTTTGATTGCATGGTCCCAGCTCCTTTGCAGACTGCATTTGTTATTTGTTGTCCACAGTATTTGTTAGTTTGATTCAGTCAGGCTATTGAACTGAAGCCTAAAGGAGCTATTTTTAACTTTTGTTATTGCTACATAGCTAATATTACCATTAACAGCTGTTTACTTACCAGTCTAGAAGAAACATGATGAGTTCAGCATCAAACTTCATTCTTTTACACTAAACACTAATGTTAACTCTTGTCCCTATCACGTCTTTTCTGCTACTGAAGTTAGCATGCTAACCATCTAGCTATTTTGGCACTTTTCAATAGCGACTCACTGTAGCCTCCAATCTGCCTTTAAGACGTAGTGCTGCTCAGAGGACGTATTAAAACCTCTTGTCTTGTAACACAACTGATGTTATAGTCAAGTGACAATCACCACCACCCGCTCCTGGCAAGAAACCACGTTCGGCGAAAGAGAAAACTTACAAATAGCCCCTTTAAATGACATTAGCCCCAAATGGTTGTAATATTAAAACATGTTGATATGACTCATATGTTAGCAAACTATTACCATATCCAGGAGACAAGCGGCAACCTTAGCATTAATTTAAAGTAGTGTTTTTGCCACCCTACCTAGTCTGCTAGATGCTAGTTGCTAAATACTCCAATATGTTCACCATCTTATCACTGATTTT